CTGGGTGCAGGCGGCGGGGCCCACCCGCCCGTGTCGGGGTCTGGGTCGCCTCCCGCCGGGACCAGGACCCGCGGATCCTCGCCCAAGGGTGCGCGCCGCTGTGACACAGACTTCCCCGCGCCCCGGCCCCTGTGGGGACTGAGCCGAGGGCCGGGTGTTCAGCCCCCGGAGAAGGAGGCACCGGGGAACCAGGCGCGCAGACACCAGCGCCGCGGAAGAGCAGTCCGGGCTGAGAGCCCGGGTGAGGTTTTTGGGAGATGAGAAAGATATGACGCCCCAGAGCCGATGAGTAGGGTGAATCTTCATTAACCTTTACAAGGAAGAGCTAACCCTGGGAAAGCAGTTTTAGTGAGACGGAAATGGAGAGAAGCAGCATTGGTTTAACGCTGCTAAATAGAAATGAATTGGCACGCTGGAGTTTCCTCGGGGAGATGCTGACAGTGTTGTTAGAGCTCCGGTTTAGTTTTTGAGACAGGGCCTCCTTCAATTGTCCAGGCTGGCCTCGAACTTAGGATCCTCCTGCTTCGGCCTGTGGAGTCGCTGGGATCACAGGCATACACCACCAGGACTGGCTCTGTAGCTCTGATTTAAATGTTTGCATTTGTAACATAGAGAACATCTTGGGGTCAGTGTGTTTTGTTCTTAGAAGGAATTTAGAGATCAGTTGTCCCCAGAAGGTGACTGATGGCCGGAGAGGAAGACAGGCGTCAAAGCGATACAGTGATAGGGAGCGGTGGTGGCGCTAACCTCAGCTCCTTCCCCCAGCCACTCATCCCTGACTAGTTTTAGTATTAGTACTCTAGGAAAGGGATTAGAGAAATACAGTAGCTGTAATCCCAGAAGTTGGATTCGGAGAAGTGGGATGTGGTAGAAAGATCGTAGGCTTTTGATCTTAGGCTATTTCAAGGAAGTTCGAGTTTGAATCCCAGTTACACCTTCTTTTTTGTTGTTTTGAGACAGGGTCTCATTGTATAGCCCAGGCTGGCCTCAAATTCATGGTGATCAACCTGCCTCAGCCACCTGCGTGCTGGGATTATAGGCATGTGCCACCATGCCAGGGTTGAGTTTTACCTAATACCCTTAAGCTGTAGAGCTGCAGGATTCACACCTCTCAGGCATTTCTGGGTTGCTTGTGTACCCAGGTCAGTAGTGACAAGAAAGAGGTCTGTGCATACTCAGGACTGATGGGGTTGTTTTTCAAATACCGCGCATTGGAAGTTGGTTGAATCTGCTGGTGTGGAACCAGGGCACAGGGAGGGAGGAATGTAATATGAGTTCTCTCACATTCCGTTGCCCGCTCCTCTCAGATCTTCACAGACGACTTGTGTTGACCTTTATCTCCTCTTGCTCCCCAGACACTTGGAGCCTCCAGGATCTACAGATTAGGCGACTGTTTCTCAGGTCCTGTGGCCAATGGTGAATCTGGTAGTGGGCATTAAGCCTTATTAGCTGTTTTCCTAGTTTAAACGCCTGTCTTACAAGACCTGATCATCTCCTGCCTGCGGTAGAGATTTGGGAGAAAAGGAAGAGGGGAGAAAAGACAGAAGGAGCCACCTCTGGCGCAGGGCACGGCCTTTGCCGGCGAAGTAGGGATAATCTACGGCCTGGATAGTCTGTAAACAGGTGGTTGGGTCAGGATTTAGGAAACGAGGGAGGCACGTTAAAATACTTTTAAATAAAACGTAGTAACGTGGATGTGGTGTGTTTATTGCAGCCTTGTGCTTCTACTTAAAATACCAGCTATATAGACTAAATCTTTCTCATTTTCTCTCAAGTAGAGATTTATTGTGGGCGAGTGTTCAAAATGTAGTTCAGAAGTAAGGAAAGGGATGTGCAGACCAGCAGTTCTCAATTCAGTGAACCAAAATACAGCAGCTGTTTGTTTGTTCTTTTGTTCATTCATTCATTCATTTGCTTGGCAGTTTCAGCTGAGTGTTTCCTGGTTCCAGCCAGGCCTGGTGCTAGGGTACAGTGCCCAGTGCCCCGTGCCCCATATGGGGTCTGGTAAGACCTGGATGCTGAGCCAGCGTCTCTGTGAGAGGACTCTAAAACTGAACTTCTCCTTGTAGAATTGATATTTTTCTGTAATTGTGGCATGATTTTCCAGATTCATACCACTGTTTTTCTGTTGTGAACTGAATACTAATTATCTTTGAGTGGCTTTACTTTAATGAATCCTGAGGTTATAGTACCTTTCTGTTTGAAAATGTCCTGTAGTTATATTCCTGCCTCAGCCTCCCAGAGTGCTGGGAAGCCAGGTGTGTGCCCCCACACCCTGTTTGTGAGGGAGTGATTTTGTGTGTGGGTTGAGGTGGTGTTTATGGGGATGAACACATAATAAAAGGTATACTTGGATATACACACTTTATACCAATGTCAGTTTCTTGGAATTGGTATTGCACTAAGTTACATGAAAGGTAATCCATGGGGGAAACTAGGTAAAGGGCACATGGGACCTCTCTGTACCATCCTTGTAAGTCTCTGTGACTATGCTTATCTTGGTTACTTTTCTCTCATGGCTGAGACAAAATACCCAATGTCCAAAATTAAGGAAGGAAATGTTTATTTAGCTCACAGTTTGTGGAGGTTTCAGTCTCTTATTGACCGGCTCCAAGGCAGGGTGGCATGGTCAGGGGCTACCATACATGTGATAGAAAACGGCAAAAGAGAGAACAAGCCTCTTTCCTTCCCTTATCGTGTGTGCAGGCTGCCCACCCCAGGGCAGGTGCAGCACTCCTACCGCCAATCCCAGCACCAGACAGTGAGCCAATCACACACTCTAGATTCAGCCGCCTCCAAAAAGTGTGCCTCTCTTGACTGCATGAGGCTTTGGGGACATCCAGACACAAACCAGAGCAATACTTATGTTAATAATTAAAGTATAAAGAATTAGCTTAAAGTCCTTATGTACATTATGCTTTTCCTTCTTATGTTTAAGCTTTTTTTTTTTTTTTTTTTTGTAGTAGGGATTGAATCCAGGGACTTGGCACTGAGCTGCATCCCCAGCCCTCTGTAAATATATTTATTTTTCAGACAAAGTCTTGCCAAATTGCTAAGTGGCCCCCACGGGGCTTGACCTTGTGGTCCCGGAGTGCTGGGATGACTGTTGTGTACCCCCATGCCTGGCTCCTTTAGCTATTCTTGTAGAGCAGGTGTGTTGGTGACAAATTCTGTTAGTGTCCCTTCAGCTAAGTATGTTTTGCTTTCCCCTTTACTTTTTTTTTTTTTTTTTAGGCTGTGTCTCGGTGTATAACTCAGCCTGGCGTTGAACTCACTATGTAGCCTATGATTTGAACTCATATCGATCCTCCTGCCTCAGCTTTCCTTGTGCTAGGATTACAGGTGCACTACCATGCCCAGCTTTCTCCTTCATTCTTTTGTTTTGTTTTGTTTTGTTTTGTTTTTGTTTTTCTTCCAGTACCGGGAATCGAACTCATGAACTTGCGCTTGCCAGGCAGGCGCTGTGCCACTGAGCTGAATCCCCAGCCCCTCTCCTTCATTCTTAAAGGATATTTTTGCTAAATACAGAATTCTGAGTTGCCAGCTCTCTTCCTTTTAGCACTTGAAAAATGTATTATTTCTTTCTGTCCATTATGGTTTCTATGAGAATTTTGCTGACTTTGGCTTGTTCTCCCACTATGTAAGGTGTCTTTTTTCTCTTGCTGTTTTCAGTTTTCAGTTTGGCCATTGTGTGTGCTAGTGTGGATTTCCTTGGGCGGATCCTTTCTAGGATTTGTGTCTTCTGCTGCATTTGGGAAGTACTCGGGTATTTCCCTGAAGACTTTTCCTCCTGTCTTCTAGGGGTGATAGACGATTTCTCAGCTCCGCAGATCTCTGAGCTCTGTGCAGTGTTTTTCAGCCACATTCCTCTCAGATTGTACAGACTAGGTAATTTCTGTGTTGTCTTCACTTTTTCTGATTCATTCTTCATTTGTCTTCATTGGGCTGTTGAGCTCATCTGTTGGTTTTTTTTGGTTTCAGTTATTTTTAACTCTTAAACATTTTAATGCTAAATTTCCGGGTTTTTTTTATATTGTAGAAGATTTCTTTGAGGAAATATTTTAAACATTTCTTTAAGTTGCTTGTTGAAGTATATTTATGTGGCTGCTTTAAAGTTTTGTCAGATAGTTTTAGCATCTTTGCATTCAAGTTGAGATTTTCCTGGTTCTTAGGATGGCCAGTGATTTTTTTTTTTGTTGAAACATAGATATTTTCAGGTATTGTATTACAAGATCTGGATCTTATTGTAATATAAAAAGATAGGAAGACCTCCCATGTTCATGGATTCAGAGAATTAATGTTAATAAAATGGCCATACTACCCAAAATGATGTATAGTCCAGAGAAATCCCCATCAAAATACAAGTGATATTCTTCACAGCACTAGAAAGAAATCCTAAAATTCATATAGAAGCATGAAAGCCTCCAAAGAAACAAAACAATCCTGAGAAAAAAGAGCAAAGCTGCTGGCCCTATAGTACTTGGTTTCAAGACATGCCATAGAGCCACTGTGACATGGTGTTTTTATGCCATGGTTGGGAATAAAAGCAGACTCAGATCACTAGAACAGAAGAGGGGACCCAGAAGTACATCCATATATCTTTGGCCAACTGATTTTGAACAAAAGTGCCAAAAACACATTGGAGGAAGAACAGCCTTTTCAACAGATGGTCTGGGAAAACGATACACACAGGTAGAGGATAGAAATCAGACCCGATCCTCTCCTTGTACAAAAATCAACTCACATTGGATCAAAGACTGTAATGTGAGACCTCAAACTCTGAAGTTACTAGAGAAAACACAGAGAGACATTTGAGCATATTGACACAAGCAGTCATTTCCAGGGTAGGACTCCAAAAGCACAGAAAGCAAATGCAAAAACTGACAGATTGGATCATAAAGAAGTTAAAAAGCTTTTGCACAATGGGAGAGAGAGCCACAGACTGCAGAGAGCCTGCGAAATGGGAGGAAGTCTGTGACAGCCAGTCATCCGACAGCAGGTTAGTACTCAGAATGCATAAAGAACAGCGAAAAGTAATCCAGTAAAAAAGTATGGGCAAGTCATCCGAACAGACATGAAAAAACATTTGATGTCTTTGGCCCTCAGGGAGCTGCAGATCAAAACCTGGGGATATGCCCTCTCATCCCAGTGCGCATGGCTGTCCTCAAGCTGTAGTAGCGAACTTGCCAGGAGGATGTGGAGAGAAAGGAATCTTTATACACTGCTATTAGGAATGTAAATTGGCACAGCCACTGTGGGTAACAGCATAGGAAAGGGTGAACTACAGAAGCACCACACAGTCCAGCTGTTCCGCTCCTGGGTGTACATCCAAAGGAAATGTGGTTACATCCAGAGAGGTCCCTGCGTGGCTGTTTTCTGGCGCCGCTCACAACCACCAAGGTGTGGAACCAACCTGGGCGCCATCAGCAGATGAATGGATAAAGAAAATATAGTACATATGCACGTTGGAGTGTTACTCAACTGTAAAGAAGAGCAAGATCCTGTCATTTTGCACAAAAGTGGATGTAACTGGAGGATGTCATGTTAGGCCATAAGTCAGATACAGGAAGACTAGTATTGCACCCTTTTTCTCACATGTAGAAACTTAAGCAAAATGATCTGACAATAGAAGAGGCACTGCTAAGGAACGGCACGGGGTCAGGAGGGGAGAGGGTGGACGGGTAGATGGCAGTGGTCAGTGCACAGTATACGCATGCTCGTAAATACACAGTGAGCTGCAGTGTGCACAGCTCGTGTGTGTTAATAATCACGATACTAACAAAGAAACCACCTGCTTCTGCAGGCTTTGTGTACCTCGCTCCTGCAGGGCAGCGGGGGTGTAATCTGCCAGGAGGGAGTAAAAGTCCATTCCCACGTACCTCTGTGCACCCTCCAGTGCAGTGAGCTGCTCAGAATTCCTGGGGATAGATGGGCATTTGGCGGGGAGGGCGGGTCCTTCCTGCCCTGTACCCCCTCAAGGCAGAGGACATTCGGCCTCATGGGCCAGGGCACACACGTAGCTCGTCACCTGCCTTCCCTGGTGTGCGGGAGGTGGCTGCAGACTTTTTCCCTTGGTGTTTGCCGAGGATAGAGTGGTTTTACTGAGGCGCTGTCTACTTTGCTAGACTACCTTTCGCAGTTCCTTGACGAGAGAGAGAAGCTTTGTTGTGGTGGTGGTGGCTTTTGGGTCCTTTGCTCACTGGCATTTCTGTGTTGTGTTTTCTCCAACACCAAGTCTGGGATTTATGATGCAGAAGAAAAGGCGGCAAACTTGAGCTCCTTGGGTCCTGCTTACCTTGTGTATAGTGCCGGGGTTTCCGGTTGTTATTTGCCAAAGGCACCATCCAGGCTCAGATCTGTTTCCTTTGGTTTCCTGTGCTTACACATCATGACCAAACATTTAGTGTCTTGCTGTAATATAACTTTCTCAGTGACTTCCTTTCACCCTCTGTGGGACTCAGTCATCCTTTTGAAGACTGGCTGTGTGTCAGACGTTTGCAGGGATTCAGAGGACCTGCTCCCTGGCTCTGTCCTGCGCCTACTGCCCTGGCCCCCAGCGATAGGTTAGGGGCTGCCTCCCCGCCTTCCTCTGGCTCCTGCCAGTGGGATGTGGCACTAAGCTGCTTAGCACCTTCTCCCTGGCTCTCAGGCCCTCCTGTCCCCTCAGGCCCTGCTGTTGCTGGCTGCTCCCCCTCCTCCCTCCCATCCCCTGGGACTGAACCCGGGAGGGAGGATTCACGAGAGAAGCTGGGAGGGTCTCGCAAAGAAGAGCTGGGTGGTGCGTGGAGGGAGGACGCCGTCTGGCGTGCCTCAGTAACCAGGTCCCCTGCTTTCCCCTCGGCCCACAGGTGTCCCCATGCCTCCTCCCGTGGACCATGTCCATGATCTTCTTCACTAGCGTGGTACGGGTGAGGGACGGCCTGCCCCTGTCGGCCTCCACCGATTTCTACCACGCCCCGGCCTTCCTGGAAAGCAGGCGGCGCCTCAAGGCCTTAGCTGTGCAGCTGGCCCAGCACCCGGGCCGGGGCTCCGCGGAGAGCCAGGACTTCCGGATACAGTAAGTACAGCCCGAGACCCTTCCTTGGGGGGCTCTGCCTGCTGCGCTGCGCTCTGTCGGTACCCCTCCCTTGTGAGGACCCGTCTGCTCAGAAAGAAGCCTGTGACTTCCCAGTGAAATCATGGGCTCCTAGCTTTTTGAGAAGGGGATATAGAATGTAATATGTTAGCTGGGTGTGATGGTGCACGCCTGTAATCCCAGCGCTTGGGAGGCTGAGGCAGGAAGATCATCGAGAGTTTGAGGCCAGTCTGGGCTATAAAGTGAGCTCAAGGCCAGCCTGAGCTGCATATTGAGACCCTGTCTCAAAAAGAAAAAAAGGGGGGGGGGAGAAGAATATAATATGTTTTACTCAGTATTTATTTGGTGTGTGATACTGGGGATTGAATCCAGGGCCTTTGCAATGAGCTATATCCCTAAACTCTTTTAATTTTTTATTTTGAGACAGTCTTACTAAGTTGCCCAGGCTGGTTTCAAACTTTTGATCCTCCTGCCTCAGCCTCCTGAGCCCCTGGAGCCATACCTACCTTATTTATGTTGAGTTAAATGTTCATTATTATTATTATTGGTAGTAGTAGTAGAAACAGGGTCTCTCTGTGTAGTTCAGGCTGGCCTCAAACTCATGGCGATCTTTCTCTCATTCTTCTGGGTGCTGGGATTACAGATGATGCTCTCACACCTAGCTCTCACCATTGTTTCCAAAGAGGAAGCTGAGACTTTTATTACAGGTGTGTAGTACATAGTGCTTCACAATTACGGGGTGTTTCCTAGGGTGCCCTGACAGAAATGCCTTCTCTCTGTTCTGAAGGCCTGAAGTCTGAGCTCCAGGTGCGCGGGTGTCCCCTCTGCAAGCTGTGAGGAGGACTCTCTCAGGCCTGCACTGCCCCCTGGTGGCAACCCTGGCTTCCTTGTCTAGTAGATGCACTCCGTGGTCACGCGGCCTTTTTGTGAGGGTAGCAGTCGTCAGAAGAGGGCCCCCCCTGATCCGGATGACCTCATTTCATCTTGCTGACTCAGTTTGCAAGTGAAGCCCCATCCAAAGCCCGTGGAGGAAGGGCTGCAGCCGTCCTCTGGGGACACATTCAGCCCACAGCTGAGGCCTCTGTCCTGCAGGAACAGCTCCATCCTGAAGGCTGAGGCCCTCTGAAGGACCCTGTCCAGGGAGCCCTCCTGTCCTTCAAGCTGAGAAAGGTCTTTGGTAGGGCGTTCCCGCTGTAACAGACAGAACATTAAAGCCTGAAACCTCCTGCGGGAAGTGGCCAGCGATGTGGGCAGATAGATCCAAAGAGTCACCCGACGCCTACAGTCCAACTTGGAGGAAGCCCCGGGTTTCCCCCGGTGAAGGGAGCCAGATGCTGGTGTGCCCGTGTGTGCGCACACTCCAGCGAGGTGTGTGTGTGTGTGTGTGTGGTGATACGCAGGGTCCTGGTCACTGTGCGGGAAGCTCGGGGCTTGCCCCCAGCATGGTGCAGGGACGAGGCCTGGGGACTCGTGGGCCGGGGTCAGGATGAGGCCTTTGCACAGAGGACGGAGTCGGGCCGGGCCGCCGTCCTGCTGACAGGACGCTGGGTGAGGGGACACTGGTCTCTCCCGGGCCGGGGATGCGATGTAAAACACAATCGCACCAGGGGCTTGGGACCTCTGCACCCGGACGGCCCGGGGCTTGGAGGGGGTGTCTGGGAACCCCGTCAGTGTTGGCCCAGACCCTTGACGCCCCTGGGGAGCTGACCTGCGCGGAGCTCGGGTTGGGGTTCTGAGGGAGGAGCCGCCCTCGATGATGAGCCTCAGTGGAAAATGGTGGAACAGGAGCGGGTACAGTATCCACCCGGGTCCGTCGCGGACGCCCAGCCAGATGGGCGTCGGCCCCCAGAACTTGACTGACAAGGGAGGGGCAGCCTGCAGAGGAGCAGAAAAGCCAGAAAGGCATTTGTTTTAAGAAACCAGAATCACCTAATGCCACAAGCAGATGAAGATGGCACGGAGGGAGGGTTGCAGGCCAGTCTTGTTCTACCTGGATGGGAACGGGCTAGACGAAACATGAGCGGATGAAACCCAGCGTTGTATGTGTGTGAATTTACAGAGCCTTGGAGCCACGGGCTGGGGCGCTTTCACTTCGGGAAGTGACTGATGGAAGTGGGAGCAGAGAAGGCCGAGGCGCGCCCCGCCCGCCTGCATCATTACGCTGTGGGGCCGGCACCGCCGGAGGAAGGCTCAGTCTTAGAAACCGGTCCAGGGGAAGAGCTGACGTGCACCGAAAGCACCCTGGACTGTGGGAGGCCGACAGGCACGGCTTGGGGGTCCCACAGCACGGGGTGAGTGGGCCTGCTCCTGGTGATACAGACTGCCCTTGTGTTGCAGCTTCTCTTCTGCAGGGGATGTGGCCTGCATGGCCATCTGCTCCCGCCAGTGCCCCGCAGCCATGGCCTTCTGCTTCCTGGAGACCCTGTGGTGGGAGTTCACGTCGTCCTTCGACACCACCAGAGTCAGCCTCGCCTCCAGGCCGTACGCCTTCCTCGAGTTCGGTTTGTACTTTGCTTTCGCGTTTCCTTCCTCTCCTGTGCATGGTGTGTGCAGAGCTCGCTATGTTGGGGGCTTCGACCCTCAAGGAGACACGTGGGAGGCACAGCCATATGCCATGAAGCCACGTCAGACCCCCCTCGAGGTTTCACAGCGGGGCCAGCACCAGGGAGCCTGCAGGTCCAGCACCTGGCTTTTCAGACCTGCAGAGCTGGGCAAGGGAGGAAGGGAGAGGCCTGGGGATTCTCAGGATGGCCTCAGACACCGCCCAGGCAGAGCACAGCTGTGCTCATTCCTGCTTGCGCCGTTGTGGCTGCCGCTGCCCCCAAGCAGCCTGCCGACCGGAAGCCTAGCACATTTTGCTGGCCCCTGCGGGCGTGTTCTTCAATCATAAGGGACTAGGAAAGGGAGGAACAGTGCGGGCAGGTTGTTGGTAATTCCCTGGGAGTTTTAAATTGTATTTTATCAAAGTATCAGTGCAGTTTGGAAAAACGTCCTTTCCTGAGGCGCTTGAGAAGCGCTGCTCTGCAGGAGGCTGCCTCTTCCCCGGCTCGGCAGAGAGGCCTGGAGCTCGGGAAGCCACACAGTAACACGGTCTGTGCTGACCATTGTCAGCCTGGGTCCTCTTCGAGCTCCTGGGGGACGAGAGTAGAGGCAGGAGCTGGGAGCATTGTGGGGTCCTGTGTCACAGCTGTTGTCTCTGTGATGTCCTTGAATAAGGCACTGACGGCCCTTGGTCCAGGCTGGCGCAGGGCCAGCACCTGGAGGTGTTTCTGCCCATGAGTCCTGGTCCCTCTGCCGTCGCCAGTGCAGCCTCATGTGGCCCTCCGCCGGCCCTCAGCGGTGGCACTGGCGTGGTCCGGTGCCACCCCGCGAGGTGCTGCAGACCCCTGGGGAGACCAAGAGCCCTGCCTCAGGGTCCCCGAGAACCTTGAGTCTCACGGTCACCCTCAGCCCCTCTTCCTGTAGGTCCTGACGGGCTGCAGCACAGCGCTGTGGACGCCCGCTCTTCTCCGTCCCCGCGCTGCCGTCCTCCAGGCGGTGTGTGGGACCTGGTGGGGCCCCCCTGGGACCTCGCGTCCTCGCTGCTGGGAGCAGCCTGGGGCAGACTGCATGGTGCTAGTGTCAGACATGAGTCTGCTTTGCCCGTGTGTATGAGATTTCACTTCACATACTTTTTAGGATTTGGTAATGGATTGATACTAACGTAAATGGGAGCCTTAAAACCAGCCTTTCAGACGTATACCCTGGTTTGCAGAACACGTTTGTATTCATTTGTAATTCTTTTCAAAGAAGCCTGTTTTGAGACAATCAAGGCAGGAGGAACCGCTCCTTTCCGGCTCAGAGCTGTGCGAGCCGTGCCTTGGGCCTCCTGTCAGGTGTGGTGAGTCAGACTGCAGCCACTGAGGTCCCGTGACGCATCAGTGAGGCCTTCTCCAGTCACGGGGGACCCACCGGGCTAGGGTTCCGCACGGCAGTCATGACCTGGACGTGTAGCCCGCCCCCAGACCGGCAGATTCAGGCGCTCGCCTAGCGACGGGAACTTGGTTTTGGACTCGCTGCCTCGCACTGGCATCTGGTGCACACGCCCGACCTGGGTTGCTCTTCCTGCAGACAGCACCATTCAGAAGGTGAAGCGGCATTTTAACCACGCGAGCGCCTCTCAAATGCAGAGCAGCTTGGAGAAGGTGCAGGAGGAGCTGGACTTCCGGCCCCCAGTGGTCCTCTCCCTGGAAGAGACAGACGCGGCCGGCAGGCTGGCGAACGGCCACGTGCCCGTGCTCCTGGAGCCTGGTGAGCGGCCCCCCTCTGTCGCTGGTGAAAGGCTGCTGTGTGTGACAGGCTAGAAATGCGTTTGGGGTGGGAGGGTTACAGACTCACCCTGTTGCCAGGTGGTTAGAGAGCGTGAGCCTGGGTGGTGTCCTGTGCCTTGGGACTCCTGGGTTAGTGCCATCAGCTACTGGGTGTTTAGCACCCGACAAAGCATAATTATTTTGTATTTCTTGTTTTACAATTACATAAACTAATTATTAACTAAAGTAGACATTTACGGCCGAAGAATCCTGTCACAGTGTAAGAGTGGATCGTTATCCGATAGAGCTGGCTACACTATAACAGTCGAATTATTTTAAATTTTAATATTAAACTCATTGCTTGGAGTTTTAAAATGATATATTAAAAATGTCCCTGTTTTGGGCCTGACTTTGTGTTTTGGTGTAATATGTTTTAAGGGGTAAATTCCTAGTAAATTTTAAGTGTAAATTAGAACAACTTACACTGGGAGAGCACTTAACTTTCACAGGAAGCAGACTGGGGTTGTGGAGTGGGGGCGGTGCCTCTGCCACCTCTTTCACGGCCGTGGTTTTCAGCAGACGCTTGCGTCTCTCCTCGTCAAGCTCCCACTTTCCGCATGGAGCCTGTGACTGCCCTGGGAGTCCTGTCCCTCGTCCTCAACATCATGTGCGCTGCTCTCAACCTCATCCGCGGAGTTCACCTCGCAGAGCACTCCTTACAGGTAGCCCGGGCTTTCCAGCTTGCAGCGAAGGAGCCGATGGGGTTACTGCATCTGTTAAGTTACTCTACACTAAGGTTTCTGTTCCTCTCTTGTGTGGAACTGGGGATCGAACCCAGGGCTTTCATACTGAATGACATCCCCAGCCCACCCTATTAAACTGTGAGACAGTGTCTTGCTTGGTTGCCCAGGGTGGGCTTGCAGAGACAGTGGTGAGAGGTAGGCAGCTTGCTACGAGGAGTATGGGCTGGCATTTCCCTGGGGACCTGTGAGTCACGCCAGGGGCTACCGCCTTATTTACCCACAGCAAAAGTCAGGTTCCCAGACTTCAAGGTTCAGGCTCTTTTCTCCCCACAGTCCTACGTGAATAATTCCACAGGAGCGTCTTGTGTGTTTGCCACAGAGCTGTGTCCATAGCACACTGTGATGCAGTTCCTTCCGCTGGGCCGGCTGTCTCAGAGCAATGCTCTATTTCAACCCTGTTTTATTTTTTAAATTTTCCTTATTGACTAATTGCTTGATTGACTTTTCTTTTTGAGGTAGGGTCTCACTATGCAGTTCAGGCTGACCTTGAACTCACTGTGTAGCCCAGGCTGGCCTTGGGCTCTCAGCGAACCTTCCGCCTCAGCCTCCTGAGTGCTGGGATGACAGGTGTGCGCCGCCATGCCCAGCTCAATCCTGTTTTAAAACAGTTGTAAATTTTGAAGTATTTCAAGTACTTGGATTAGGAATGGGACCATAGGTAGCATGTGTACCTCAGAGCAGAACTGTGATGCTCGCCTCTCCCGCGTTGCGGCCGTCGTCTGGAGCGTAGCGGGTGCTGGGCCGTCCGGAGCGGCAGCCGCCTGTCACCGCCTCCCCTCATCCCAGTGGGGGGTGTGGCGTCCCCTCTTACTGCTGAGGGTTGTTGCTGCTGTCTGGACACTGAAAGCAGCCCCCGGCCAGCAAGATGGCTGGGGCATGGCTCTTGCCTTGTGGGCCTCGGCACAGAGCAGAGTGGACAGCACCAGCCGTGGGCAGCATGAGGCAGTGGCTGTCCAGAGCAGAGGGAGCCGAGAGGGTCTGGGCGTTGCTGAGGTGCAGGGCTGTCGGGGAGGGAGGGTTCGGGTGGCCCCTCTCACCTTGCACCCTCCCCGTGTTCCTCTGATCTCTCCAGGTGGCCCAGGAGGAAATTGGGAACATCCTGGCTTTCCTCATTCCTTTTGTAGCCTGCGTTTTCCAGGTGGGTGAAATGCTGGTGCCTGGGTGAGTGGGTTAAACCTGTGGCCTTTTTTGTCCTTTTGTTACAACTGCCAGGAAGTTTCTGGTACCGGGTTTGTTCCGCCTGGTCTTGGTTCAAATCCCGGACCCCTGAGCCCTTCATGGAAAAACCTTGGCCCATCCTGCTGAGCCTCACATTTTGTGGAGGAGGAGCTTTGGGCACCATGGAAGGGGAAAGCCACTTGTTCAGGGCCACAGGCCACTGAGAGCAGCCGATCCGACAGTGACCCTGACAGTCCAGCGCACAGGTGGCCTGGCATAGGCAGTGGCAATGAAGATGTGGTTTGTAAACCTATGACCAGGCCAAAAGTTGCAATTTTTTTTTTAAATAGTGATACCTTCTCAAATCTGTCCCTTAGGGAATGAAACAAAAGTTAGATCACTAAGTGGGGGCTTTAGCAGTGCGTGTTACACACCTGTAGTCCCTGCTCTGATGGCCCCTCCCTCCCTCCAGAGCCAGAACTGGCACTGAGTTGCTCTGTGTTCTGAGAATGTGCTGTTTTAAAAACAGTATTGGGGCCAGGGATATAGCTCAGCGGCGCAAGCGCCTGCCTGGCAAGTGCGAGGTCGTGAGTTTGATTCCCAGTACCAAAAAAAAAAAAGAAAAAAAGGTACCAAAAAGCATAATTGTGAAGGGGCCGGGGATATAACTCAGCCCCACAAGTGCCTGCCTGGCAAGCACAAGGTCATGAGTTCAATTCCTGGTAGCAAAGGAAAAAAAAAAGAATCCTCTTTTGGGCCGGGGATATAGCTCAGCAGCATAAGCACCTGCCTGGCGAGCGCAAGGTCCTGAGTTCGATTCCCGGTACAAAAAAAAAAAAAGGAGCTATAAAACAATATTGAACTGGAATGCTATTTTCCCAGCATTTGCAGAGCGGGCATAGCTCCCTCCTCCCATGGGACCCCTGCAGGGAATCCCAGCCACGCTGCCTGCAAGGAGACTTTCCTTCACTCAGAGAGGCTTCCAGGGACAGCGGGGCCAGGAGTGGGGAAGCGGGGCCAGGGAGGGCACAGCTCCTTCTGCAGGCCAACTGGGGGAGAGCTGCATGGAGTCTCCCGGCCAGGCCCTTGCCACCTGCACCTCCCAGGGCTGCAGAGGCGCCAGCCCCTGGCTCTTCTGTCGCACCTGATTCTCTGCCCTCTCCCATGCCCGCCTGCACCTGGAGTCAGCCGCGGCCGAGCTGCACATAGCCCGCACTCAGTCCCTGAGGTCGGCCTTGTGGTCTCTTGCAGTGCTACCTGTACCTGTTCTACAGCCCAGGCCGCACGGCAAAGGTGCTGCTGCTGCTGCTCTTCATCTGCCTGGGCAACGCGTACCTGCACGGGCTGCGCAACCTGTGGCAGATCCTCTTCCACGTCGGCGTGGCCTTCCTGTCCTCGCACCAGATCCTCACGCGGCAGCTGCAGGAGAAGCAGTCGGACTGCAGCGTGTGAGGCCCCTCGGGCGGCGCTGCCTTCCTCTGAGGGTTGGTCCCTGCCGGCCTTCCTCCTTCTGACTTTACCTGCTTCTGTCTGTGAAGCAACTTTGGGCCATGCCGGTGCAGAGCCGGAGTGAGGGTCCTGGCAGGGTCGGGTCGGGGTGCCCCTCCGCTGCGCTGAGGATGACAGCCTGTGCCCCGGCCTGGCTCTCAGGAAGGTGCCGTGGGAGAGCAGGCCGAGCGTTTGGTCTTTATGGAAGCAGGCTGCAAGCACTCTGTCCACGCGGTTGTCTCCAAGGAACCGGTCCAAAATCCGAGTCTGCTCTGCAGTCTAAATATGACTCAGTTTTAAATATGACTCAGCTCTTTTCCTTTGATAAGAGGGTCAGAACAGGGTGAATTAGAAACTTAAATGTGGTTCATAAATACAAGCTAGATAAATTTTGTTTACATTTTTGAGAACTTAGGTTTGCTGTACCTTTGGAATATTTATATTTTGGATATAAATTGAACTGAGTAGGATGAGAACAAATTTAAACTGAGAAAATGGTGAAGAAATCTTGAGTTTATTTAATTTTAAAAGGGTATCTCACCCTTCTAGGGTGGAGGGACAGAGGGTGGAGACACACTTTATACTCACTTGTGGGGTGTATGAGATTTTCTAAGTTAGCTGAGCGCCGGTCCCGTGGATCAACAGCTTGGAGGCATGACTGGGAAGAAGGCCCTCAGGGTGCCTGACGCCGGCCACCCGGTGGAGACCAGGGAAGGTGATTCCCTGATTCCCTGGCGCGGCCCAGACCTGGTCGGTCAGGACGGGTGCTGTCACTCTGTCCCTGCCTGGCGTTTTGCTGATGATGAATACGTGACCCTGTGTACCTCTTCCCAGAGTACTGTTCAAATTAATGACTCCTCAGTACCTTCCCCAAGAATCTTAATTAGATCCTAGCCTCATTTTTAATGAACAAAACCCAGGATGTAGCTGGATGTGGTGGTGCACATCTGAAGTCTCAGCAGTCTGGGAGGCTGAAGCAGGAGGATTGCAAATTTGAGTTCAACCTGGATAACTTAGCAACACCCTGTCTCAAAATAAAAAAAAAATTGAAAAGGGCTTGTGATGTAGCTCAGTGTGACAGCCCTGGGTTCATACCCAGTACCGCAAAACAAATAACAAAAGTAGATCTTAACTTTCCAAAACTTTATAAAGGTGTTATTGACACATTATTAAAAGATTGATTATCATTTTCTAAAATACAGTTCTTGAGTGAGGTCCCTTAGGTCTCGGTGGCCTGTTTAGCAGTGTCACTGCCGCAGGCTCTCTGGGAGCCCCCTTGGATTGTCTGAGAAGTCGGGAATCTGAGGAGCTCGACCATAGCTGCCCAGAGCGCTTGCCGTTGGGTTGTGTGACTTGACCAGCTGCAGGGCCTGTTCTGATAGTTTAGAAAGGTGGAAGCCATTGCAGAGGTGAGGATGCGGCTGAGAGAACCCCTCCTGTTTGGTTATTACTGTATTCGTGGTCGTTGTACTACCTTAGAATCATCTGAGGAGAAACAAGGCTCTGGCTCGGAACTGGACTGGGAAAACGTTACACAGCAACTTTCTTCTCTTGTACGGGAATTTTCTGTCTTAGCCTAACACGGATCTGGATGTGAAAACCATCTTGGCAGCATCGTCAGGTATAGGCGTCGAAGTTGCTTTCCGCTGATTTTCCCTATACTTAGCGGGTGAACTCAGTCTTCCTGGGAGATAACTCTCAGGATAGCTCCAGTAGGAAGGGAGGCCATGAAGGGTAGAAGAGCCGTTTTAAATGAAGCACAGAAAAGCTTGGTAGAAGCAGCACAGAAACATGCTTATTTCGAAGCTCGCGTGGCTTGGTTTGTCCCGTGGCCCTGTGCCCCATGTGCTCTGGTGTCTGGGCTGTGACCATGGTTGTGCAGCCAGCAGGTTAGAAACGGTCCCCAAAGGTGGCCTTCGCTGGTGCCCGCGCAGACACTCGCGGAGACGTCCCGCCCTTGGCCGGGTGTGGTCGGTCAGCATCTTGATGGTGTGGAATTCACTTCTGCAAACAGAAACTGTACCGTGAGGGCAGCAGCTCTGCATCGCTGGGGTCCACCTGAAGGAGGCCCTGCTCACCGGAGAGGAGGCTGGGGACAGAAAGGAAGTGTGGGGATTTTGTTCCAGGGAGTCCTGGGCTTGGGCAGACTTGGTTCAGGCATGGAGGCTGCAGCACCCTATTCAGTCTGACGCCAAAAGCTGGCTCCACACCCAGAAGCTGGCTCCGCCTGCCCTGGGCTCACTGCTGGCAGGCCTTTGTTTCCTGCGGTCAGATGCTACCTCCCATATCCTCAGGGCCGGATCTGGGGTCCCAGGAAACTGTTGAGGAGAGAGCTTAAAGGTGCCTTCGGGGGTCTCTCGCGCCCGCCAGTGTGCAGGCCCCTCCTGGGTCAGGGCAGTGCGCTCCCGGGACTAGTCGGATGTGACAAGGACCGGGACAGCAGGGCCCGTTGGCGGGGGACGGCTATCCTTTTTGGGACCAGAGGCCCACGGCCTGACTCCTGGGCTTGCTGCTTGCGCTTGTGCCCCGTTACCAAGGAGCCTGGGATGGGCATTGTGAACGAGCATCTGAAGTTCTCCGAGGCTGGGGAAAGGGTGTCGGAGGAGCCGCTGGCCACCCTCTCTCGTCTCCGCTCCTCCTCTTGCCGCCTGTGCACCCCCAGCCCCGGACATGGGCATGGGGGCCTGGCGTCTGGGGGGAGTGGCTTTCACTGAGGTGGAGAGGGTGCGTGGGTGCGCAGCGCTGCCACAGATGACAGCCGTGGGGACACCGAGGTGGGGAGCAGACCGGGGGCTCTGTGGCTGCTCCTCGCGCTTGGGGAACCCACTTGCAGTTTGCACTGCGTGGCACAGGTGTGGACAGACGTGGACAGGAGGGGGTGGGGCTTGTGCGGGTGTGGCCCCCGCCCCAGGCGGCCCATGCAGAGCCCCACCCACGCCGGGGAGGCCCTGCCTGTGCACTGTGGGTGCTGAAGGTTGGGGGACAGCAGGATGTGCCCTTGAGAGATGGGGCGGGGGGCATCCTGGGCAGCTGCCTGCTGGCTTGGAGCCCAGCGGGAATCACAGTGGAGGTGGCTGCCCTTTGCCTCAGTTTCCCTCTCTGGGAAATGGTGCTAACATCATCTGCGGCCCTGGCATGCTCTGTGGTAGTGGAGGGGTCTCGGGGTGGGCCCAGGGTCAGCGTGCCCTCGGAGAAGGGCTGTGAGTTCACCCGACCCCACCGCTCCACGTCCACCAGGCTGTTGGCGTGGCCACGTCTGCCGGCCACCCCGAGTGCGTTCACGGTGCTGCAGTGTGAGGGGCTCGTCTTCCGTCCCAGACCCGGACTGCCTCCTGCTGCAGGGCAGAGCCCTGGGATGGCAGACTTCTGTTGCCGGGGAAATCTCATCAGCAGGGGCCACGGAGTATGCGCGTCATTAAAACCTGGACCGGTTAGAGAGGGAACATCCGCCCCGGTACTGCCGGCGGGGTTGGGGCTCAGTCCACCGTTATTTCTGGTAAGACTCAAGTGTGCGCTGTTCCTGCCTGTGCTCGATACACGCGGCCTCTGGCCCTCTCTCTCCGTGGTTCTGAGGTGGCTCCCGACAGACCCTCTCACGGGCCATTCTAGGCTTTCACCCTGGGTTTGGTCTGTGTGGTGGACATTTCTGCTCACAGGGTGAAGCACCCAGGCTGACTTGGCCTGGGGAGAACCACTTCCTCCACGGCCTCCTCTCCGGCGCCCGCTTGCCAGCTGCTTCATGCAGCCATGAAGGTCTGGTTTGAGCACAGGACCGGCACTCTCTCACCGCCTCGCACTGGTGAGACCTAAGCTTGTATTGGTCGCAGAAGCAGTTGTGCAGCCATTTATATTCTGTGTATACAGAGCTCGATGGGGGCTGCAGGGGTGGGAGCAGAATAAACGCGAGCTGTTTACTAACGTGTGTGTGTCTTTGTGAGAGGTCCTTTCTCATGGGTGGGTGGGTGGGTGTGGAGGGTGGTGGTGCTGTGGCCCTTGTCCTGTTCCAGTGATATCTAGACAGGTGCAGGGTTCAGATGGCCAACACAGCAGTGGTCCTGGCGCTGGGTCCGGGCTACCAAAGGGGATCGCCCCCCCAACGGGCCTGCTGTCCCGGTCCTTGTCACATCCGACTAGTCCCGGGAAAGCGCATTGCCCGGACCCAGGAGGGGCCTGCACACTGGCGGGCGCGAGAGACCCCCGAAGGCACCTTTAAGCTCTCTCCTCAACAGTTTCCTGGGACCCCATCTCTACCTAGGGCTGTGGGTTCACAGCGTCTCTCAGGCCCAGGCCGTCACCGATGGCCTCCAGGGGGCGCAGCTGCCCGCCACAGCCTGATTCCCAGCCCAGGTCGCTTGTCCTGTGGCAGCTGACGGAATTCCCAGAGAGGAGGCGGGTGCTCCATCCTCCCTGCCCCGGCTGCCTGTGCAGGGCGGACAGCTCCACACCATTTGTCCTGAGCCCGAGGCTGCAGAAGGGAGGCGAAGCTTCCTAAGTAAGCCTCCAATGGGTGGGGTTCTGGGGTTTGCAGGCTGGCAGAGCAGGTGGAAGGCTGCGTCCTGCCCCCGAGAGCTGGTCGCAGTAGCCCAGAGCTCTGACCCCTGGGCTGAGACCAGGCACGGTCCACCCCACAAGGTTCCTTCTGGGTGAGGAGCATGGCCAATGAGCTGCTGTCTTGTGGGCCCTGCCTGTAGTGCCCACTGTTGGGCAGTGCCTGTGGAGGATGGGCGTGGAGCAGCAGGGCCCCCCTCTGTGTGCCCACGAGCGTCCTACCCGGCTCTGCTGAGCCGGCCCTGAGAGGTTGGGTCAGACATGAAGGCAACAACATCTGCGGCGTTCATTGAAGAGCATGAAGAGTATCTTCGCGGCCGAGGCTGGAACGGTACGTCTCGGCATTCCTGGTGGGCACGCCTGTGAGCCCCGAGTTTTGGGGCTGGAGGCAGGAGGACTGAGTTTGAGTTCAGTCTGGGCAAAGTTAGCAAGACCCTGTCTTGGAATTAAAAACAAACAAACAAACAAAAAGCCTTAAAAAACTCTTGAGTTCAATCGCCAGGGTTAAAAAAGCAAAAAACAAAAATAAAAACACAAAGAAAAAAGCACTCCTTAAAAACGTCACAGGCAAAACCCTGCAAGCAAAATGATTGATACATTTGATTACAAAAAAAGTGTCATGGTCAAAGTTAAACAATGCTTGAAAAGCAGTTCGTAGAAACCAGCAAGTTCAGACAGCAATCCCGGTGAGAGACGAACAAGTCACGGGAGAGAAACCCAGAGAGCTGTTGCACGCGAGAAGATGCACGCACACAGGGAGAAGCCTGTGGGAGCGACAGGAAGCGCTAACCCCACGCAAGACTCAGAACACTCGCCAAACCGGAGGCCACCACGCGCTGTCCACAGCGAGGAGAGACGCACAGCATGTCTGCAGAGCCGTGCTGCTTGGTGCCGCCCCCAAACTCCTACGCTGAAGTCCTGGCAGACAGGTGTAAGAGTTCAGATGGAAGTTCAGATGATGAGGACATGAGTGTGGGTCCTTTTATGAAGGGATTGGAGTTAGGCGTGTGGCACACGCCTGTAAGACCAGCACTTGGGAGGCTGAGGCAGGAGGATCACTGTGAGTTTGAAGCCAGCCTGGACTACCTAGTGAACTTAAGCCTAGCCTGGGTGGGCTGCATATCAAGACCTTGTCTCAAAAAACAAATAGTAAAAGAGGAGGAAGAGAGATTGGGACACAGGAAAGGCCAGGTGAAGGATGAGACAGCTACTGCACACTGTGATCTCACACATCGGCCTCCAGTCATGAGAAGTAAATGCCTGTTATTTAAATCACCCAACAGCCCTCGCCGACCAACAGCCAGATCGTGTGTGCTCATACCTTGTGATGTGGAGATCTCAGTCTGGGTTCTGTGTCTGGGAAAACACAAGACACTTAGGTAACAGGTACAAAGACTTCCATGGAAGCAGAACACGACCTGTGACAGTGCACAGTCACGTGGTACCCATCGGGAAGTGTCCTGTGCTGGCCCACCCGGAGCACCCTGGACTGAGATGGCCCTGTGGCCTGTGTATGGAGCTTTTCAACTTAGAGCTGAGTGCAAAATAACTTCTGTGTAGTTGCTCCTATGTGCACCAAAATAATCGGAGGTTTTGTTAGAATAGATGCGAGCAAAACGTGTGAAATCCATGGAATGGTCACCTGGGGTGGGGCAGGAGTGTGCGAATTAGGGGTGGGTTACCAGGCGCCAGTCTGAGCGCCCTGGTAGAATGAGGTGGCCTGTGCCCGGCCGCAGGGGACGAGCTCCAGGACTCGTCCTCGCACTGCCAGAGGGGTTGCACCTCCAGGGCTGCCCAGTGGGGAAGGGACGAAGAGGGGTGGCTGGGGGTGGAGGCCAGTCTGGGTGGGGAACTGCCCTCCCCAGACCCGGCCGCCTGACAGCGGTTCCCGCCTCAGACTTTCCCACAGGAGGCACTCCCAGGAAGGGCTCTTCTGGGGATGGGGGATGCAGCTGCAGGGGGCAGGGGTGCCCCCCATGCAAGTCCTTCTAGCCCAGAAATAGCCTGTGCTGACCCCAGGGCCGAGCAAGGGCTGGGGGCAGCGGACGGACGCGGGGCCAACCCTGGAGTGAACTTTCTCACGGAGCTGTCCAGCAGGGACGGGGAGGTGCTGCGCCCTCCCCACGGAGGTGCGGGAGCCCAGGCAGGCCAGCTGGAGGGGTCTTGGAACACGCTGTCCGCATCACACAGGCACTGTCTCGTGCTGACGCTGGCGTCCGAGGGGACGTCTCCCTATCTCCATCCCGGGGCCAGCCAGCGCCAGCCGCAGGAAGCAGCCCGTGCCAGCCCCGTTGGAAGAGTAAATATTAGTCTCTTCAAGAGCTGCCTGTTCTCTGTCACTCGGCACAGAGGACACAGCCGGGAGGGGGCCCACGGGTCCCCACCCAGAGATAGCCTGCAGCCGGGTCGCTGGAGGGACAGGCCCCTGTGCACTGACCACTGCTTGCCCCTGCCCCTGCCCCTGCCCGGGGGCTCAAACTGTGCTAACCCTGCGCCACCCCTCGTCCCCAGTGCTGTCCCTGACACTGTCCAGGCCGTGTCCACAGAGCCCGGACGTGAGGTTGCCAGGCCCACACTGATGTCCGCTCCACAGACAGGGCCGCCACTGCCTCGCTCGAGCAGCTCCTCAAGCTTCCCGAGTCCTCATCTCCATGCAGAGCTCACCGGACTCACGCTCGCCTCTGCCCAGTGCTCGGGACTGGTCTGCAGGGCGAACATGTGGGGCGACACTCTGAAAACACTACACACTCTAACTCGCATCCCTGTACTGGAGTTCCAGTCCCTAAGCCCCCGCGCCGCCGTGACGGGAGGGCTGGGGAGCAGGCCGCCGTGGCTGGGAGCGGGACTGGGGCGGGGAAGGCCGCGTGCCAGAGGAGTCCCGCAGCCAGCGTCCTCCGGTGGCCCTCCTGGGGGACAGAGTTGGAGCTAGACTCCACGCCAGGTTTGGGTGCGGACCCCAGCCCCCTCGGCTCCCAGAGGAGGAAGGACGCAGAGCTCCTGCCTGACACTGGGCCTGTCGTGCACGGGGGGCTCTGGCCCGGTGCTGCTGTCCTGTGCAGGCCCTGGCACACGGCCTCTCCTCCGCCCCTTGCACGGCTGCAGTGCAGGGCAGGCACAGCAGGAGTCAAGAGGCTGCGGACAGGGAGGCGATTCTCCTGAGCACGGCGGCCCGAGTGAGAGTGGGCAGCAAACACCCTTCCTGCCAGCGGGTGAGGCGCTGGGGGAGCAGAATGCCTGGGACAGCGACAGCGGTCTCGAAGTCACACAGGCGGGCAGAGGGGACCCACGGAAAGCGTCACACGTGGTGCACGAGGACATCACGGAGCCGCTGACCCGGCCTCGAGCTTCCACTGCTGGTTGGCATCCCCGTGGAGCGGAGGCTTGGTTTTCTTCCTAGCCCAGGGAAGCTGGCAGGGCTCCTAGGTCCCTTCCACGCTGATCTCTGACCTCAGGGGCGGGGGACCCCGGCGTCAGGGTGAGGCCAGGAGGCAAACTCTAAGAGGGAACACACAACCAACAACTGGGCAGTCCAGGTAAATAACAGTTTAATGTAATATTTTTTAAAAAAGTATTAATGCAAAAATACATGATGAATAAAATAGGAAGATTAAATACAGATGGGAGTCCGTGCCGCTGGCTGGACCTGCTCTTCCTGTTTGCATGAGTGCTGCCTCTGAGGAGTCCGCTACCGGGCCGCGCTGGGGTCTGAGGCTCTGGCCGTGACGCCACGGTAACTCCAAGCGAACCCCCTTCCTCTCAGAACTTTGGGACCCCACGTGCGCTCGTAGAGGTTGGGGTGTTGCTACGATGGTCCTCTCATCCCCACAGCCAGCGAGGTCACTGTCCCTCTCCCCAGAGGCTGTGTCTCAAGGGCCACCAACTCCTGGCTATTAATAGCTCGGCCTCCTGGCCAGAGCAGGGTGCGTAATGACTGCCAGCTGCGCTCCGGCCCCCTCCCCCGGGACAGATAAGCCCAGTTCCTGTTCCCACACAGGGGCGAGGGAGGCCCGGCAGCAGTGGGAACGCAGGGCTGCTCCTTACCCCACGCCTCACCCCGCCCCGCCCTTGGTGAGGCCTGGCCTGCCCCGTCACTCTAGGTGCTCATGCAGCAGCCTCGGGCTCCTTTTCCACCCCTGGCGGGGGGCGCTGCAGCTTTCCCAGGGCTTCCCTTGGCCTCGTCCGGGCAGCCCTCTCACCGCTCCCTCAGGCAGGGGCCCTGCTGTCTGCTCACCTGGGCTCTGGGGTCCCTGGCCTGCAACATGTCTCCTTAGGACCTGGAGCCCTCCTCCGCTGAGGGGCTGCCTGCCCTTCGCCTGCTGTGCTAGCACGTTGGCCTGGGGTGGCAGAGCTGCCACACCCGGTGGCCTCTCCCAGAGAAGGGGTGACAGCCATCTGGGCTGGGAGGGTAGGGTGGCGGGTCAGGGTCCAGCCTGTGGCAGTAGATCCTGGGCCCTGGTGTCCCCTGTCCCAGACTCACCCTGTGCCTGGCCACCTCCCCGGTGACCCTCGGGCGGAGACCACCTTCTGAGCCACTCGCATGGAGGTGGTGTCCCAAGGCCAAGATTAGGTCGGCTCTCAAAGCGCCCAGCAGGTGGCAATAAGGACAGGCTGGCCGTGTGAAAGGTGACAGAGGGGATAGGAGAAGTCCTGCTCTGGTTGCCTTCCTGTCCCCCTTCTCCAAGCTCCTTGCCCGGGGGGGGGGGTCTCTGCCTCCCCATCCCTGACCTCTGCACCTCGTTACCTCCCTGCACAGGACCAGATGTCTTCCCCTCATGCTGTGTCCTGGTCTCTGCTTCCACACCGCCACCTCTTGTGGGTCACCCTGTGTCCCCCCACGCCCCCCTCCTTGAGGCCAGGCACATAACGGGCGTTTCCAGTTCTGGGCTGGGACCCTGCTGTCCTTCCTGCAGCTCTGGCAGTTGCCAGTCCCTGACCTGTCATCTGGTGAAGGGTCCCAGGCTGGCTCTCAAGGAGCCTTGCCATTCGTCCACCCCCCTTTCCTGGCATGGTGACCGTCTGGCCCGCCAGCGAGGTCGCCCCTCCAGGTATGCAGAGGTGAGAGCTGGGTTCCAGGAGGCTGCCCTGGGCCCTAGGAGGTCAGTGACCTTGGTGACAGCCACGCTGGCTTCTTCTGGCTGATCCCTGGGAAGGGGCGACCTGGCTACCACATCCCCGGCTGCTCCTTGTTTCCAGGAGTGACCGTGGCCCAGAGCTTCACCATCTCTGGGACTTCCAGTCCATCCTGGCCCAGGACTGGGCGAGGCACCTCTGGGCTGGCTCAGAGGCTGAGGGTCAGTTGGGGACCTGCTCTATAAAAACTGTCACACCCGGAAGAGGAGGATACGCCTCCGAAGGAGATGAGCTGCTTGACACACGGAAATGTGGGCCCCCACCCGGGCGGCTTCTGGCTTTGGCATGTTTTGGACCCCTCCTCGGGGTAGGGGGCGGTGCCTACAGACAGGAAGCCAGGCCACATGGGTCTGGAAGCTCCAGGGCACGAAGCCCAGCTAGGCCAACCCTTAGGGTCGCCTGCTGCAGCCCAGGGTCCTCAAGCAGAGGCTGGGCCATCAGTCCGTGTGGCCCCATGGGTGAACGGTGACACAGGCTGCCGTGGCCATGCCTGAGCTGGGGCCTCCTCAGCCATGCTCCAGGGGTGGGGATTTGGGGATAACGGCACTAATGACTCTGGGTGACAAAGGCCCGAGAGGATCCTGCTGCTGAGGCTGTAAGAAGGCGGTGAAGAGGAGTCTCTTCCCTCAGCTCAGTCTGAGCTCAAATCTTGGCTGGATGACGGGCGAGCTCCCACCGTCTCCGAGACTTGGTTTCCCCATCCACGAGACAGGCTGAGTTGGCCTGCAGCAGTCAACGTCTGGGCGAGCGCCCAGTGGGCAGCTCAATTGCTTTGGTTGTGCATAAGGCTGGTGTGATGGATCCCACATGACGGAAGCCACGAGGTCCAGCAGTGTGCGTGCGTGGGTGCAGCGGCCTCACTGCCAGAGGCCCAGGGTTGCCTGGGTCCCGGGTTGAACTGTCCCTCTCACGAGAGGGATGCTGGTGCACGCTCCACACCCCACACCTCAGATCCCCATCATGAGCCTGCCTGTGCTGGAGGAGCCGGCCCGGGGGCACTGGGCAGGGGAGTACTGGATGGTAAGGCTTAACCCAAAGAAACTTGCCACTGGGGAGCCCGGCCCCCAGGGTGGTGACCTCCCCGCCCTCAGGTCTTGAGAACTTCGCTGAAGGCTGGGCCACTGTCCTCCCAAGGCCAGAAGCGCTCCGTGGGGCGGAGCCAGGAGGAGAGGCTGAGATTCTTTGACCTTGACTGCCCTGGGCCTTGGGCTCCCAGGCCCCAGGAGTGGCACTGAGGTGCAGGGTGCCTGCGGTTCACACCAGGGAGACCTCCGCCTGGAAGCTGGAGGAGCGGCGCGCGCTGGGGCTGACGCGGGTCAGCATGGACACCTGCGTGCTGCACGTGGCGCCCGTGCTGCCGCCCCACAGGGGCTGGGACGTGGTGGTGCAGCCCAGCACGCCCTTCAGGTGCCAGCGCCGCCACCTCCGCCGAAGCTCCGCCTGCACCTGGAGAGGGAGGCCGTCAGGCCTGTGCTTCACCCGCTGCAGGCCCGCGGCTTGGTTCCCGTTCTGGTTTGGCTGGCTTGGTTCCCATCCCCGGTCTGAGTCTACACAGAGGGACCCTGGTGCTCGCTGGCCCTCTGTGTCCACCCACTGCGCCCACCGCCCTGCCCAGCTGTGCCCCAACTCGGGAGCAGAGCCCCACACCCAGGCACTGTCATACAGACCCCCTCTCAGCAGGCCTGGTGTGGCCCTGGAGTTCTGTGCTTTTAACCAGCTTCTGGGTGACAAGACCATAGTGGTCTGAGGACCACCCTGGAGTAGCAGAGGGTCACCCCCGCCCCCGCCCAGGAGGGGCTCACCTCGCCGTTGAGGAAGCAGTAGAGGACGGCCACCACAAAGCCCTGGGAGGAAGGGACAGGACAGGTGAGGACACAAACCCCAGGCGCCCTGCCCCTGCTTCCAACTCCTGCTCCCCAGTAGGGACTGGGCCTAGCACTAGGCAGGCGCTCGACCAGTGCTTGCTCCAGGGAAGGCCGAGCCAGTGGCCAGCAGGCTTGTGCAGAGTTCCCTGAAGGCCCGAGAAGCCGTCTGCTCCTACCTGGAAAGACCCGACGACGAGCTCGAAGACCATCTTCACCTCGGGCTTGAAGTTGTCAGGGAAGAAGGCGAACATAACGTAGTGCACGCCGAAGAGAGGGATCAGCAGCAGCGTGGACTTGGCCAGCCTCCTGAGGACAGGGACGACAGGCGGGTGAGCGCCCACACGTTCGCCGCCACCTCCTGCCGCCTGGCTCCTTCCTGACCCGCGTCACAGCCCCGTGCCCGGCCTCCTGGAGAGACGGGATCCCTGGTACTCATCCTGAGAGAGAGGACGGCACGTGACGGCGGGCTTTCAGCTACCAGGGAGGTTTTCCTGGGCAACAAGAGACCCTGGCTCCCCCACCCTGGTCTCAGTTTCCCCAATCTGTACACTGGGTCAGTGCACACTCAACCAGTTGCATTGCAGACCTGGGGCCGCTGGAGACTGAGGAGGGCTCCGGGTGCTACCGTGCAGCCTCCACGAGAGACCAGCTCCTTGCTGGACGGAGGTCTCCCCACCTGGCGTGCTGACCCCGATGTCCCAGGCCACCTGGGAGGGCAGTGAGTGCCACGCTGTGCCTGGTTACCAGGGGGCCTGGGACTGGCCAGTGCCACCCTTGGGCTCTTGTGCCTGCTTCTCCAGGACGTGGCCTTTCCTGGTCTTGCTCCCCAGGCCCACGGATACCCCACTCCTAGATGGCCTGCGGGGCCTGCTCCTCCTTCGCAGCCTGTGCCCAGCAAGGGCAGTGCACAGGGCTTGTCCTGGTCCTGGCCTGGGCAGCTGGCCTCTGAGCTGGTCCAGGCAGTGGGAGCACAGAGTTCCCAGCGGGGGAGCTCTGGGAGGGCCTAGCGGGGGCATCGTGACCCTGGGCAGAGGAACCTCTGCCTGCCCTTGCCCTCCTTCCGGGGCCTAGCGGATCCTGAGCGCTGCCTGCCCTCCTAGCACAAACCTACCCCACGCACCATGCAGCTGACAGATGGAGGCCTTCTTTAACTGGAAGCCTCACGGCGGGTGGGCGGAGCGGCAGCCCACAGCCCCTCCCAGGGAAAGCATCCCCTGCTCCGCGGCCCCTGCACCTGCTGCCAGCTGTTCCCCATCCTGCTCGCGCCCATGGGCCTGGCCAACCCAGCCCAGGCCTTTCCCAGATTCTAGCCCCGCTGAGCGTCATGTGGGGGGACGAGGTCCCCAGCAAAGGCGAGGGCGAGGGTGCACAGGCGGGGTGCAGGCCCCCACGGGGCCTCCCTCCTCCAGCGGGAAGGGATGCTCTGCCGAGTGTGGGCGGGGAGAATGAGCTGTGTCTCATCTAAGAAGCTCATGATTCCAGAATAGATCCTTAAGTCCAGCCGCGCATGACGTCCTTGCTGGAGCCTCAGGCCCGCCTGTTCTCCCCGAGAAGCTGGGCCAGCAGCGTCCTAGGCTCCCTGCACCCAAAGGCTCCTGTGGGGCAGGGCTCGGGCTCCGCCTCCCCTTGAGGCGCACAGGCCCCTTGGCCTCTGCCAGCCTCTCTGCACCCAAGCTCAGGGTACTCTATACCCACCCCGCCCACTCCGCACTGAGCCCCGCAGGGGCTGCTGGTGTCCCTGTAGGTGGGGACCACTGCCAGGACAGTGTGCAGGACCAGAGCACAGGCCAGGAGTGCAAGCTGCGCTGCCCCAGCTGAGTCAGGGATCACAGAGCCCTACACATGACCCCCTCCCAGGCAGATGGGGCTCCCCAGGGCACCCCTGGAGTACAGTTACTGTGCCCCTTTGCTGTGCTAGGAGGGGGCACAGTACAGCCTCATGGGGGCCAGAGGCAGGGGACTCCAGGGTGAGGGGCAAGGGCACTGTAGCCTTTGGTGAGTTCCGAGGCTCAGGGCGGGGTCCTCAGAGGGGCACGGGTGGCACGGGGTGCCAGGGCCCGGGCCATACTCACGAATAGGGGCTGCTGTCACTCTTCCTGATGTCGGGGGGCCGCAGCTTCTGCACCAGGATCCGGATGATGCAGACGAACAGGACGAAGTTCCCCTGGGGTGGCAGGAGAGGCACTGGGTGTCTGCCCTGCCTTCTGGTCGCTCCTCCTCCTCCCAGGGACCCCCTGTAGCGCCACCCCCATCTCCTGCCCCTCGGGATGCACCCGCTCAGTCTGGGCCCCGGCCCCCCACTCCGGTTACTCCACTGACTGGTGGCATGGGGCACTGGGAAGCCTCGTCCCAGCCAGGTCCCTCATTTCCTGTGGGACCTGGGGTGCGGTGGCCCAGTTCCCCTTCTCTGTGTGGCGGAGGAGCCCTTACCAAGATGGAGGTGAGGATTGGGCCCTTGATGATCCACCACAAGGAGGAGTTGATGGTGTCCCAGCACCTGCGTGGGGCGTGGGGGGAGGGGACACGGTCCTTGGCCGCCCCACCCTGTCCCCCTCCCCGTCCCAGTCCCTGTCCTGCTCCGCATGGGGCCTTAGAGACCGAGGCCTGGGTCTGCCTCTCTGGACCAGGAGCTGTGGGCTGCCCCAGGCTGGGCGGGGCCAGTGCAGGCAGCCAGGGGGCGGGCAGGGTGACCACTCACCCGATATCCTCAACGTGGATCCTGGTGACAGTCCACACCATGATGAAAGTGCTGGGCACCCCTGCCAGGCCAAAGGGGGGAGAGAGGAGAGGAGAAGAGAGGGGAGGAGAGGAGAGAAGAGGGCACAGGGCGTGAGCAGAGGGCAGAGGGAGGGATTTGGGAGAAAGAATGGGTGGGAGAGAAAGGGGTGAGCTTTCAGGGCTGCCAGGTACAGCTGCTTGCGCTGCTCACTGGGCACAGATGCTCCTGTGAGAGGCTGTGGACACAGCTCCAGAGGACGGTCCTTTCTAACTCCGACAGGGCACCCCGCCAATGGGGAGGGAAGGGTGTTGGGGTCCCCCGCAGAGCAGCCTCAGGCCGCCCAGGGTCATACGCCCGGGAACTTTTATCACCAGCAGGATTCAGGCCTGCGGGGGAACCCCTGGGGCCACCCAGGCCCCGCCCCGCCCCCAGCCGCAGCCCTCCCCGGTACCATACCCCAGCCGATGAGAATGTACCCCCAGAAGTACTTCCGCTCGGAGAAGAAGGAGACGGCGAGCAGGGTGTACAGGTAGAGCCCCTCCACCAGCAGCCAGAAGAAGTTGGCCATGACACAGTACTGGAAGAACACCACGGCCGCCTTGCAGCCCACCTGCGGGCAGGGAGAGGGTTCCTGTGCTGAGGGCTGACCCCACAGCCCCGGCCTGTGCAGCCAGATCTCCATCCGTGTCTGTGTGACCCAACTCTTGATTTTTAGCTCATCGGACACGATTTTAATTATGCAGCCTTCTACCCACGCACTAGACGGTTGCCACCCACCACTCCTGTCCTCGTCTACTGCCCACGCATCCGTGCAGCGTCCATTCATCCTCCTGGCGATCCCCGCCTGCCCACCTGCCAGCCGCCTCTCCGTCAGCGACCCGCCCCGGGCGCGGTGGCCCAGTCCTCATCTCTGCTTCCACCTCCCAGGCACCGCCAACCCGCAGTCCCCGGGGCGCTGGGCCCATGCATTTTACTCCAGCAAGTGGAGCTGTGGAGGAGGGCCCTGGGTGGAGAAGCCTGGCGGTGTAGGCTGTGGTCCACTGTGGCCCGCTGGGCGGTGGGGGAGACTGGGCTGGGCACAGGGGCCAGGAGGAGGTGAGGCGGGGTGGCTGTGGGCTGCAGGAGCCGGGGGAGAATGGCTTCCTGGCAGGCGAGGACCATGGGCAAAGGGAGACCCGAGTGGGGCAATGGCAGGGCTCACGGTGGCCACGGCCAGAGCTTAAGGCGCGTCCTTCAGGGAGCCCTCTGCTTCCTCTCCCCCAGAACCTAGGACACAGGCTCCAGCCCTTCCTCCCTGGGCCTGGGAAGTCCTTCCGCAGGTGGCACTCGAGTCCCACTCGCAGGTGAGCTTCCTTCCCTCCCTCTCTCCCCACCTGCTCGGCTACAGGACTCCTAGGCAGGGCAGGTGCGCGCGTGCGCGTGCGTGTGCGTGTGTGTGTGTGTGTGTGTGTGTGTGTGTGTATGTGTGAGAGAGAGAGAGAGAGAGAGAGAGAGACAGACAGACAGACAGACAGACAGAGAGGGAGGGACGGAGGGAGAGAGAGAGACAGCCTTCCCCTCACCCTGGGACAGCTTTGCAGAGCTGCTGAGGACAGAAAGGGATGCCACCTCCCCATCCCCCAACCAGCCTAAGGCTGCACACCATGCCAACTGGGCTCAGCACCCCCAAGCCCTTCTTGTTTTTGTTTTTGTTTTTTTGAAACAGGGTCTCGAAATGTAGCTCAGGCTGGCCTTGAGCTCATGGCGATCCTCTGCCTCAGCTTCCTGATGGCTGGGACTACAGGTGTGCACCCTATGCCTGGTCACCCCATGCCCTTCTTGAGACTGCAGATTCCACCATCATGGGCCATGCTTTGGGGTCACTCAGGAAGCAGTGAGCCCTTGGCTGCAGGCCAGGGAGGAAGGTAGGGTGCTCTAGCGCTCTTGGTGTCTCCAGACTGGGACATCAGCGAGGGCCTCTGAGCCCCAGTCTGGCGGTGGAGCCCGTGGTGACTGCGGTGACTGCTCAGGGCTCCCTCCTCCTCCCCAGGATGGCCCTGCCTGGACTGAGCTGGGGAGCTGTATGTGCCTGGCTGACTGGGCGCAGTGCAGGGTGGGGGCGGAGGGGAGCATGGTGGCCGGAGCCGGGATGCAGAGGGTTGGGGTGGGGGGCGGTCAGCGAGAGCGCGCAAGGATGGGGAAACTGAGGCAAGGAGCCTCAGAAATGCAGCAGTGGAGGCAGTGTGACCGCCGCCAGGCCTGCCAGGTGTGACAACGCCCCAACGGCCATGGCATCACCTTAGAGGAGGATAAGTTCCGGGAGGAGGAGCAGGGAGAGGAGGGTCCCGGGGGAAACTGAGGCAAGGGTGGGGCCTCACCGAGCCCTGGGCACAGTGGTCCAACTCCCCGCTGTCGAACAGCGTCCGGTCTTTGATGAAGACGGCGGCGGCGCGCAGGATGAAGGAGACGAAGAGGTGCATGTGGATGTAGTTCCGGGTGCAATGCAGCTTCCTGGGGGAGGCAAAGCTGGGGCACAGGCCTTGCACCCCACCCACCAGCTCCACTCTGTGCTCGGGGCAGCCCAGAGGCACCTCTGAGCCCTGCCGTGCAGAGACAGGGCAGGGCAGGCGGGCCAGGCTGTGGCCACCCTGGGGAGGGGCAGAGGCCAGGTCCCGGGCTCGGGCTTACCTGAACAGGCTCAGGATAGCAACGGCCACCAGGAGAGTGGCCAGGGACAGGCTGTAGCCGATGGTGTAGCCGGTCTTCACCGAGTTATAGAACAGAGTCTGCTGCTGCTGGGGGCGCAGGTGAGGTGTTGGTGGGGGCTGGGGCTGCAGACTCTGCCACCTGCCCTTCCCTGGCTGGGGGATCCTGCAGCCCAGGCTGCCCAGGGCTGGGTCAGGACTGTGTCCTGGCCAGCAGTGAGTCCTCAGGGCCTCCTCCCCTTTGTGCCCCTTCCATGCCAGCGCCAGGCTCAGCCCTTGGGCCGAGATGGCCGGGCCGCTTCCTGTGTGGCCAGGAAGTGCCTGGTACAGAATGTTCAAGAGGACACTGGGAGTCCTTTCCTTTCAGGGACCTGGGAGGCAACCTAGGCTTCCTGGAGGAGGCAGCGCCACCCTGGGCCCCAAGGCTTCCTGTTGTCCCCCCTCTCCACGTCCCCCCAAACACACGGCGTCCCTCTCCCTCCTGCCCGGGTGGGGTAGAGTCAGAGTCGTCGGGGCCTCGGGCGCTCCCTCGGGCCGGATGTCATCACAGGCAGACGCAGCCACTGAAGGCTCCACGCTGAGGCTCTGCTCACCCCAGCCCTCGCCTTACTCAGGCCCTCGCCTGTCCACAGATACTGTGCTCTCATGGCTGGGGACAGGGCCCTGCCCTGGGCAGAGGACGTGAGGCCCCTCCGCCGAGCCTGCCCTGCTGTTGGGCACCTGACCCCGGCTCCTTGCGGTATCTGTACCTCGATTTCCCCTCTCCCTCCCTGCACCCCGGCTGGTCCTCATGGGCCCCTTGGGGGCAACCTGCAGACAGCAACCTACCCAGGGCAGAGGAGGAAGGGGCACTGGACAGGGCAGGGGATGGGCAGGGGCAAGGGTGTGGTGCCCACCTCGTCCAGGCCGGACTCCCTGTCGTCCAGGCCGCAGGCAGCAGGGTAGGGGCCGGGCTCCAGCTGTGTCCAGCCCTGGTCCGTGCAGCTGCGGCTCACATTGCGGCCTGGGCGGAGACGGAAGTGGAGGAGGAGGCTGATGCAGGAGGGGGCCCAGTCCCTGCAGTGTGGCTGTCCCTTGCTGGGCAGCAGGCAGAGGGCCCAACCCGCTCCTCCAACCCCGCTGCTGGTGGGCCCTGCCACCCTGACGTGGGGCCCCCACTCCTCCAACCCCGCTGCTGATGGGCCCTGCCACCCTGACGTGGGGCCCCCATTCCTCCAATCCCGCTGCTGGTGGGCCCTGCCACCCTGACGTGGGGCCCCCACTCCTCCAACCCCGCTGCTGGTGGGCCCTGGCCACCCTGACGCAGGGCCCCCTGGGGACATTTGGGGACAGCGTCAGAGCGGACACTCAGGGCTGTGCCCTGTGGAGGAGAAACTGACTCCAACTGCGGCACAAACTGGTCCTTGTCACAGGCTCTGCTGCAGAGGGTCAGAGTGACCCCCAGCCCTGTCATGACCGGGCACGGTCCTCCTCAGCCTGGCAGAGTGAGGGCGGGGACACCCCACACAGCGGGCAAGCCGAGGAGCCCTGGGAGGGACCTTCCTGGGCAAGGTGCACCATCCCGGACAGAGCTAGCAGCAGCCCTTGCCATGCGACCCGGGGCTGACACAGGCCAGGCCGGGGCTGCAGGCCAAAGCACAGGGACAGGACTGCCTGGGGCCTCAGTGCCCTCCCCAGCCTGGAACGGGGAGGGTGAGCAGATGGCGGGGAGCGGAAAAGAGCCCTCTCCCACCCTGGACTCGCCCGTAGCCCGCACCAGCAGCGTCACCATGCAGAGTGACAGGGCCCACAGCCGCGTCCCCACAGCCATCACCATCCCCACCACCAGCACCATCCTCACGGCCACCCTCACGGCCACCGTCCAAACCACCCCCCCAGCCGCATTTCCACCCTCAGCCACTCACGCCGACCAGCTAAGGACGCCCCTGCGTCAGGGCCACGCAGAGCGCCTTTGGCAGCCCGGCCTGTCCAATCCCCAGCCCCCAGTGCTCCTGGTCACTGCAGAGGCCACACAGGGAGGACAGGGCATCTGTTCTGGGCTCTGGAGCCTCCTAGGTAAGCCTGCCCCGCCCTGGGCTTTGGGGACGTGTGTTGGGAGGCCAGGGAGCCACGCTGTGTGCTCAGGGAGGGTCACCGTGCACGTGTTCAGTGCTTCCAAAGTGCCCCACGCCTGGACACACCCAGGACTCCCTGGCACTCTCTCGGTGAGCCCCAGGCAGCCTTCGGAAGCATCCTACCCCACACGTGAGGCCGGGGTGGCCGGGGCTTGGAGGGACGGCCCGGCAGGAGCAGGGCCCAAGTCCACCCTTGGCCTGGGATGGGCAGGGAGGACTCCAGTAAGGAAGGGCACTGGGCTGGGCCGGTTTCCTGCCTGGGCAGCAGCGCAGGCTCCAGGACAGACTCAGCTCCCGCTGCCCTCCCTGCTTCCCACCAGGGCAGTTGGAGGTGCTGGCCCAGCCTGAGCCCTGCCCGGGTTCTGAGCTCAGCCAAGATCTTGCTGCCGCCCGCTCGGGACCTGGTTCTTCTGGGGACCCCCCAGGCGTGGGCAAGGAGAAAAGGGGGGTGAGACCCAAAGCCTCTGGCCTGAGGCCGGGCATGAAAGCTTCACTCTGAACAGATCTGGTCTGACTGTGCCAGGCCCGTGGCCAGCACCTACACAGCAGCATGCGTTGTGTGTGTGACCACGTGGCGGTGCAGTCATGTGCCCAGCCAGGGACAGGACGTGTCCCCACCGAACACGGGTCTCCCAGGCAGGGATGCAGACCCTGCTAGTGACCCAGGTCCACCTGGGCTCCTGGCTGTGGGGCCTGGCTGTCCTTGAGGTGGTGGGAGGGGACACCGAGGCCGGCCTCAGGGAGCTGCTCTTGAGAGGACCCTGGGAACTGCAGGTCTACGCAGCCTGCCTCAGGGGACTCGGGGAGCGCCCCCCCCAGTCTCCTCTGCTGAAAGCAGCACGCTGCCCCTCCCTCGGCACTCAGGGATCCCCCCACTCTCTGTTCCCCCAGTACCCCCTCTTCCTCACCCTCACCTCGTCACCCCCTCTCTGCACGGGTCCCCCTCTACCTGGCCATCCGCAGTACTGGTACCTGGCTGACCATGCACTGTCTTGCGGAATCCGCTAGGGGTGCCTCGCCCCGGAGAGCAGGGGCCAACTTGAGGTTGGCACAGGACTTCCTGTTTGCAGCCCAGGACCAGGCAGGGAGGGATGGGGGTGTCCCACAGACCCCACAGATATGGGTGACATAGACCCTGCTTTGGCAACCGGTATCTCCCTTCTATTTATTTAACCATCTTTTCACATATGTGGATGAAAACACCAAGCTGAAGGACACGCGGGCTGCCCCTGGGAAGGAGGCCAGAGCTCAGGGACGAACGCTGGCCTGGCCGCCCTCTCCCAGGGCTTTGCAGGCGGCCTCCCTCTGCCCTTGCCCAGCTGCCCTCTGCTTCCCGCAGCCAGGCCCTTCCTGGGCGCTCACCCTCAGCCCCGTTATCCAGAGGGGCAAGCGTGGGGCTGGCACTGTCCCTACCGTACCTTACAGACGCCCCCTTTGGAATGTGAGGGCAGCTGCTCACACTGTGCCATCTGGTAACCAGGAGAACACCTTCAGCCCAAGCCACAGTCAGGCACTCCTCACTGCCGCCGTTTCAGAGCTCGGCCTGCTCAGCAGCTGTGTAGGGATCCACTGGGTGCAGGTATCTGCTGGCAGCTGGCAGGTGCTAAAATCTACCTTGTTCAGTGGCCCAGTGAGCTCTGGTGGCAGGTGGGGTCTGCTTGGAAGAGCTGCTGTTGCCTTCCCTGTAGAGCCCCTGGGGCCAGCCAGAGGGGCTGGCGCCCACCACTGAAACCAGGAGCTGCAGGACCACATCCAGGGGTGGAGGGGGCACTGCCCGGGATTCCAGGAGGCTGCTGCCAGGCTGTGCCATCGGGACTGCTCAGCATGGGTGTCAAGGAGGCCGGGCAAGGGGAGCATGGCCCTGGGCCTCCACGCGAGGGTCCCAGAATCCTTGGGGTCTGCACAGGGCTGAAGCCCTTAGCCTGGGTGCATATGGGTGATTTGGAGACCCTTTGACGTCCTGCCAGCCCCACTTTACAGACGGGGAGCTGGGACGCAAGGTTGGGCCCAGGACAGCTGGGGCAAACTGGCAACATTGAGGTGCTGCTCCTCTTCACCCCTCGCCTCTACACTGCTCCTCCTCAGCCTTACTGTTGGGCTGAAACCCAAATGTCGGTCCCCCAAGAAGCTTTTGTGAAAGTGTTGGGAATTGAAGCCCAGGTGCTCTGGTAACCAGGCTAGGCCATCTGGTAACCAGGAGAACACCTTCAGCCCAAGCCACAGTCAGGCACTCCTCACTGCCGCCGTTTCAGAGCTCGGCCTGCTGAGCAGCTAGGCCATCGCTCTACCACTCAGGTACATCCCAGACCTGTTAGAACCTTTGCTTTGAGACAGGGTCTCAATAAGTTGCTCAGGCTGACCTCAAACTCGATTCTAAGCGTGTGCCACTATGCTGGCTGGAAGGCTCATGGTGTGGAGGGCCTGGCTCCAGCAGCTAGGCCTCTTGGGATTGGCTCCAGAGGGCTCTCACTTGTCTGTGGACTAACCCATAGATGGGGTCATAGGTCAAAGGGCTGATCAGGAGGTGGGGCTAACTGGAGGAAGCAGACCCTGAGGCAAGGCCCTGAGGTGCCATCTTGTCCCGCCCCTTCCCCTGTTCCTCCCTCTCTCTGCTTCCCTAGGAGAGCATCTTTCCTCCACCACGCCCTTCTGCTTGGAAGCCGGCCAAGCAGTCTCAACCTCAGTAAACTTTCCTCCTGGAAGGCATTTTGAGGTGACAGTGAGGAACCCCACCCTCTTCTGACACCTCCTCCTCTCAGAAGCCAGCGGCAGCCATTGCCAGCCTAACCAGACTGTGACAGCCCCTGGCTCACACCCTCAGTGGCTTCTCAGCAGGCCGGGGATGAAGTCCTCCCGCTGTTGAGGCCCCGAGGCCCTGGCCTCTGTCCCCATCCCCGGCCCCTTGCTCTGCCTGGGCCACATTGCCGCCCACCTTGGTCTCACACGCTGCCAACTCCTTCCCTTCCCTGGGTCAGGGGCTTCTCCCTGCCAGTCTCAGCCACAGTGGCAGTGCCACCTCTGACTGCTGCCCATATGGTGCCTGTCTCTTCCTCCCCCAGCACTCCTGATGCCTTTGAGCCTGTGCTTGGCTCCTGGACTGTGAGCCCGGGTCCCCACAGGGCAGACAGTGGCCGTTTCCGGGCCCCTCGTAGTGCCTGGTGGGCTAACAAGCCTCATCCACGGAGCGGGAGGAGGGTGGCGGGACAGAAGTTGGAGCCGCCCAGCCCCAGGGCAAGACACAGCAAAGCAATGTGGCTGTCTCAAGGGTCCCCAGTGGCTTTGACTCCAGGCAGCAAGACTGAACCCCGAGGCCTGGCGTGACTCACAGGAGCCCTGTGCTAGCCACGGACCTGTCAGACATCGGCTGCTGAGCAAATATTTGGTCACCTGAAGATGAGGGGCTAATCAAAGCGCACCAGTGCTACCACGTCCTCTGCCGGGGAGTCCCCCAGACGCTCCAGTCCCTCTGGTTCACTGTCTCCTGCGAGCTGGCCCAAACGCCCCACCCCAGTGCGCCGCCTTCTGCCCGGGGCTCCTACCTTGGATGGGGGAGAAGAGCGTGAAGATGAGGGGGCAGGCCAGGATGACCACCTGGCCCCGGGGGGTGGCCGGCCAGCAGGTGAGGTTGTCCCACATTCGGCTGCAGCCTGTGGGGTGGAGGCAAAGGACATGCCGGTCACCAGATCAGCAGGGAAAGGCCACAGGCGCCCCGCCTCTAGCTCTCTACGAGGCTCCCCCTGTGGGTCCTCCTTGAGGAGTGCAGCGCCCCCTGGGGGTGTTGTGAGCATGGGAGGCATCTCATGTTACAGCGATGGGGGCCCGGCCCGGCATCTGATGGGCAGGCACTGGGGATGCCAGGCCTGCGTGGGCACGGTGAGGAACCGGGTCACAGAAGGGCCACTGCGCGTTGGTGCCGGTGAGCACCTCTGGCAACAAGGAGCGCGTGGGCTCCTGCTCCACTTTCCACCTATCCCATGGCGCTCACCGCCCAGGCCGAACGCTTGTGGGGCTTTCACAGGAGAACGGCGCCAGGTGAAGGACAGAAGACGGTTTGTTTGGGACTTTAGCAAGAGCTGTTCAGTGTTTTGGAAAATAATGTCCCAACAGCAAGGCTGACTGGGAAATTTGAGTCACGGCTACAACTGCCTGTATATATCAATCTGCATTTATGGCGCTCACACTCCCGGCGTTTATATTTATAGGTACAACCTTCAGACTGTATCCTCTTATCTCCCCGTGCAATCATGCCTGAACATATATAGATCTTTTTATTATAACCATTTTTTTCTTTTACATTATAGCTAGAACATCGTTTTCTTTTGGCAGCACAAGGAGTAGCCGTTAGTTGTATGATTTGTTAGAAAACTGACATTTTGATTTCAAAATTCCTATTGCAAAATTATCAGCAGTGGTTTTAAACATGTTCACAATGCGAACAGATTCCACTCTGCAGACACAAACAAGGCTGTTATTCCACATCCAGAAGCAAGAGTCGTCCTGAGAGGGCCTATTATAGACTGTCAGATTTTTAAAGAAGGACTATATATGTGTGTTCTGAGTTGCATTTTATAACAGGAAAGGCGACATCAGAAGACACTTGTTATAAAAGAAGATGCTAGGGATGATGGGCTGACGAGCATACTGGGGTGCAGCTAGTTGTTGGGAGTCTTTGCAAAGCCCACAGCTCAGTGAGCCTGTGAGTGGTGATGGGGGTGTCAGGCTGTGACCCCCACCACAGAGCTGGGTCTTGCGGGTCCACTGGGGAGGGCTCAGGAAGTCCCCACAGGTCTGCTTTATCAGGCAGATGCTGACGCCACAGCTTTGCCTCTCCAGCACCCTGGCGCCCTGGAGGGACAGGGCTACTCCAGACCCCCTCCCCGGGGAGGCTTAATTGTCCGTCTGCAGCCCAGGCCCATAGATTTGCTCAGGAAACCCAACCCCGGAGCCAAAGTCAACGCCAGCTGGGCCAAGCCCAGCCCAGCCCAGGTCCGAAGGTTCACAAGTTCCCAAGCAGGGGGCCTGGGAAGAGGAGTGGAGGGCCGCCCCCCTCGGGGAAGAGCCTTGGGACACGGGGGCTGGAGGGGCAGTGCAGGTGGAGGCGGGTAGGCGGGTGCCTGCAGGTGGCACCTGCAGCTGGAAGCCAAGGACCACACCTGTGTCCTGGGGCCTCCTTGCCCCGTGCTCCCCAGCCTTGGTGGCGTCGCTGTGTCCCTCCTCTGTTCTGGGCCGTGCAGGACGCCTCCTGGCCATGACATCCTCCTGACCATCAAATCCAGGGGCTGTGGTCTAGGCCCTCACCAGTTATGCATACAAACTCTTACACAGGCTTGGTATGTGCCCAGTGCTCTTCTAGCTTCGTTAAATGAACAGCTGTTTAACCCTTCCGTTTCTCAGATGGTGAAGCTGACACCTGAATCGGGTCCCGCCAAGGTCACACTGCCACTGAGGGGTGCAGCCTGTTCACCGCACTCTGGCCCGAAGGTCCAGGCGGGATGGGGGGTCCTCCGGGCATTTGCTGCTGCCAAACTCTGTTTATCCCTCTCGGGGGCACTGGGCACATCCCGCATGCAGGCTTCCTGTTGTGCACGGTCCCTGCCAGGCCTGGGCTCTTTGACTCCGGATGCTAGCCCAGGCCAGGGTGGATTTGGAGCTGGGTGATTGTCCTTGAGAGGGGACAGCCGGAGGGCGACTGGGCCTTTGGGGAAGAATGTCCACACAACAGGCCGGGCCGGGTGCGGGTCAGCAAGCAGGGCAGGGAGCTGAGGCGGACTGCGCTCGGAGGGCCCTGTGTGCCCGCCGGGGGCTGTGATCCCAGCACTCTGGAGCCTGGGTGAGGGTGGCGAGCAGGATGACGGAGGCTCTGTCCGTCGTCACAGAAGTGCCCGCACACGGGATGCAGGTCCTCCAGGCACACGTCTCCCACAGGCACTCCTCCTAACCTGCCTTTCTGGCCGAGACACACACCATGGGCACCACCTGGGATGCTGAAAGGGCACGCAGCCGAGGGGCACACAGACCCCAGCACAGCCTGTGCACCATGCACATCCACCCACACAGACACCCCCAGGGACCCCGGGGACAGCACGCCTGGCAGAGCCAGACATGAACACGCACACCAGCTCACAGAGGCTCGGAGTCGGACCCAGGGACAGATGCAGCCCTGAGGGAGGCGGGCCAGGAGCGCCCATGTGGTGCCATACCAGGCCTCACAGGTCCTGGGGCCTGCGGACCCACGCTCCCCCTCCCCCGGGCTCGGGCGCTGCTGAGCGCAGGGTGTTGGCACTCTACTGGCACGAGTGCCAGGAGTGACCTCATCGGGATCACAAGGTGGCCTGGCTCAGGGCCGGGAGGAGCTGCCGTGGGAGCCTGGGATCTGTCTGCTGTCCTGGCCTGCTCCTGTCCTGCAGGGTGGAGGGGGCACATGGGCCTCGGTCTCAGCCCCAGAGATGGGCCGCCTGCCTCGGGACCCATCTTCCAGGCCACATGCACTCACTGGGGGGTACAGGAAGCGAGGGCCCAGCACCAGGGCCAAGAAGGAGATGCAGGCAGGGTACGGCGCTGTGGCCCCAGGGAGGTGGCAGGGAGCTGGGAGCCACCGACGGGAAGGGTGTGTGCTGCTTCGGAGAGAGGCTGTTAACCTGTCACCCACCTTGAGGAGCTGACCAGGCCGGAAGGCCCTCCCTAACCCTGTGCCCACCTCTAACCTCCGACCTCTGACCGCAGTGCCCCACCCTCCCTCTGCTTCCCCACCTGCCGCCCTTCTTAACCTGGCTTGAGCCAGGTTGCCTTCCTCAGTAGAGGGTGCCGCCTTCTGTGCTGATGGCCCTGCCACTGGGCTGGGGCAGCGGGGCACCCTCTTCCTGCTGCTAGTTCAGAAGGAGCTGGGGCCCATCAGCCTGCGGAGGGTGGGCCAGGCTGTGGGGGCGGGCAGCCTGGGGTCTGGGTGTCGCCCCCATCCTCTGGGGACTGGGTGACAGAGCCTAGTGCTGGGAGGGTGGGCCAGAGCCTCGGTTTCCTCCCAGACCTGTCTGGAGCAGCCTGGTGTCCCTTCTTGCTCTGCGCAGCCGCGATGGCTCTGAGTTCCCATTACCAGCCCGGGACCTGCCAGTTCCCGCCCACGTCACACCCCTGCTGCATCACATCCAGGCTCATGTCCCAGGCATCATCTCCACTTCTCCTGACAGAACTGTTCCACATCCTCCCAGCTGATGGCTGGGCCCCCAGCCCTGGTGTGTGTGTGTGTGTGTGTGTGTGTTCGCGTGTGCACACATGCGTGTATCAGAGAGGGCCAGAGCCTCCTGTAAGTTCTCAACCACTCTCACCGCTCAGCAGCTCTGCTCTGGGTGCAGTCAGCCCCATGCACCCCATCTGACCAGCAGGGAAGGGAGGGGCCTGGGCCCTGGGCCCCTAAGCATAGCAGTGCGGGCGCCGGGAACCTGGACCCCCCTCTGTGCCTCTCACCTGCCACCTCCGTCTCATTCTCCACCTGTGCCTCCTGCAGGCACTCTTCCTGCTGCCTCTCGATCTCCTGCAGGTAGTCACACTCCTGCTGCAGCCCGATCTCCCAGCCGCCCTGGGGACAGAGGAGGTGGAGGGCCGGTCAGCTCGAACGGAAGCTGTTCTGTACTAGGGGACCCGACTTCCAGACTGAACCTCATACCAACCCCAGACTGCAGCCCTCCCAGCCCCACTGGATCGCAAACACGGTCTCAACCCCAGGCTGCAGCCCATCCGGCACCAGGCTGAACCCCAGCCCTCGCCCCAGGCTGCAGGCCGCCCAGCCAACCCAACCCAGCCCCCAACTGCATCCTATCCAGCCGCAGGCTGCACCCGAGCCTGACCCAGGTCCGGCCCCTCTGCAGTGCATAGCTCCCAAGCTGGGGTTCCTAGAGTGCACGGCCGTGATTCCTGGTGGCTTCCCCTTTGTGCTGCCACTGTGGTAACCTGACTCTGTGGGTGCCTGACACTGGACAGTGGTGCAAGGGCCTCTCCTGAGAGCCCTGAGCTGACCCCTGGACTCTGCCTGTCCCTAGGAGGGCCTGAGCTCCCCGTCCTTGCCTTGGTCTCTCTGAATGTGTGCACCAGCTAGTGCTACACTGTTAAGGGGAGCTGGGCCAGGCCTGGGTAGAGTCCAGGAGTCTGCTGTATGTCCCCACCCCAGGAGCCAGTGTCAGCCCCTCGATCACCAAAGTGGAGCAGGGGCTTGAGCCCTTCTTGGCCAGACTTCACCTGCATCCTCTGAGTTCCCAATAACTCAAGCCAGTCCAGATCTACCGAGGGTCAGGAGGCTCGAGGAAGTGACAGGCCCCTCTGGGAAGTCTCAAGACCCACCAGGCCTCCTCCGCCTCCGAAAGATGGAAAGGGGGATGGAACAGCCCTAGGGCAGCCCGCCCTGCCCTGCCTGCTGAGGAACAGCATGTGAGAAGACATGGCGGCAGAGGACGGAATGAGTGTGGCAGTAATGGCCGTCTAGGAGAAACCAGAGAACCCAGGTTCTGAGAGCTCTTGGGTGGGAAGGTGGTGGACACCAGTGGATTGGTGGCAGGCTCTGCCTGTCTCTCCGACCCTACGTGGGTTTCCTCATCTATGCCTGGGGCAGAGGATGATATGGTCCCTACTGGGAACTGAAGTGAGAACTCAGCAAGACCTTCCCAGAACCAGAGGTTCTCAGGGTCTCCTTTAAGTTGTTCTTCCCATCCTGGGACACAGTCCTTGTCTCCCTGGGTCTCAGTTTCTCTGTAGGAAAAATGGGCCTCATCCACCTCCACTGCTGATTTGAATGTTTCTTGAAGTGGGTCTGGGGCAAGAGCATAAATAGGGGCTCCCTTTCATTTCTGTCCTTTATTTAAAGTGGTCTGCAGGCACCAGAGTACACAGCACCTTGATGGCTGGTCTGTCTGAGTGTCCACAGGTGGCAGTGAGCCTTTCATCGCTGTTGAGGCAGATGGGTCCAAACTGAGGTGGGCAGCTACCTAGAGGGCCACACAGCTCTTCCACCCCACCCGCTCCCTCCTCCCATGCTAAAGGCTTTGTGGAGCTCACTGCCTCTTGGGTCACCTGGAATCCAACTTCACCCTACACAGCTTGCACCATGGCTGACTTGGCCAGGCCCAAGGAAGGCTTCTTTGTCTGGGATGCCTTCTAGACTCTCCCAGCACGCAGCCCCCCACTAGCTGTTTGCCACTGTTCCAGAAGCTACAGGAACACGTGGGTTGTACCTTGGACCGATACCTTTGCTGGTCAATTGGGGTAGAGTCACAAGCTGGGAAGTCCTATAAAGCCTGGCATAGTGGAAGCCACATGACCTATCGTGGAGCAGGGCACAGTTACTTGGGTAACTTAGGGGCCCAGGGAAGGAAAAGATAGGGGACTTAAAGGAAACATGGCACCCGTGGGTCCTCTCTCCCATAAGGAAGTGCTCACAGTGCTGCAGTGGAAAGGACCTGCGGCTGCACATCCTCAGGTGTGGGCACAGGGTGATCAGGCGGCTCCCAGAGGTGGCCCGTGAACCTAGTCAGGAACCAGGCCAGGCCACCCTGACTTGTGTCACATCCTGGTGCCCCCTTGTCTTGGTGCATGTCTCCTGCAGGTGCTTCCCAGACCTGCCTCCCACCAGCAACAGGGATCTTCCCGCCCCTGTCCCCTTCCCACCTCCTGCCCAGGGAAACAAAAGCAGGACGGAGGTAAGTGGGCCTTTGTTTTTTCCATCTCCTGCCATCCTTACTCTCTTCTGGTCCCCCATCCCCATCGCTATCCGTCTGGGAAGCAACTTCCTTCTCTGCCGCTAGACTCTGGGGTTTCATGAACTCTCTTGCAGGGGCTAACTTGTGACAGAGACCAGGTCTGAGCACTCTGGGCCACACTGCTTGGCAAAATGGCCTGGGTCAGGCTACACAGACCCAGAGGGCTTGTTCCTGGGCCTTGGAATTAGGCTATCAGCTAGGAGGCCTGCTCTCCCCACCGACTGGAACCTTCACAGGATGGAGCTTCTGCTGCCATCTTGTTGACAAGCGGAACACGGTAACAAAGGCCATGCAGTGAACGGCAGGATAGAGGAAAACCAGGCCCCTCGAGGCGGCTGTGCCTGCCCTCAGCACTGTGTCCCAAGGCACGAGCCAGTATTTTTATTCATGGCTTGTGCAAGTTGAGTCTTCTGCCCTTGTAACCCAGAGTGTCCAGCCTTGTGTGTGTGGATAACGGATGCCCCTCTTCCTGGGCCCCTGAAGCCAAGGCTACAGCCACACACTTTTCCAAGAGGTATTTCTTTCCCAGTGGCTGCGGGACCTAGGGCTCCCAGCAGCTCCTGCGTGCTACTCTGTGAGGGCAGACGAACAAGGTCAACTTCTCCAGCCAACTGTGCTCCTCCAGGGGCGGAGCCACAGAGCCCATCCTGAGAGGCAGCTGGGAGCAGATGCACTGGGCTCAGGACCCCCCGCCTGACCCGGGCACCCGGGGTGTCTGCGTGGAGTGGGGGTGATCTAGAAGATGAGCTCTGTCTGCCACAATTCAGTTGCGTGCCAGGACCCTCTGGAGAAGGGCGGAGGAAATGGAGACCCACCGAAGGACCTGCACGCGTTTCCAATGGGCCCAGGTCTCTGACCTCTGGTCCGGACAGCGTCAACTCTTTTCCAAAGCTGTGCCTTGGGCCATCTGGTCAATCATTGTCCTCTGAGGGACAGGGCCAGGGCAGCTCCCTGTAGCCCTTATCACGGAGGAATTCAGGCAGACTTTGGACTTCCTCTCCCACTTACTTCCTTTTTCTAAACATCCTCATTATCCCTCTGGACTCCAGGCACACACAGAGCATCGGAAAATTCCCTGGCCAAAGACGGCCAAGTGTATCAATCCCAGAAAGGAGCCTGGGGTAGGACGCGGCCGGAGGGCGGGCTTCGTGCAGAAGGGAGCCTGGGGTAGGACGCGGCCGGAGGGCGGGCTTCGTGCAGAAGGGATGAGTGAGCAGTGGAGGGTGCCGGGCTCAGGCAGTGAGAGGTGATGAACAAGCAGCCTGGAGCGGGGGTGCTGTGTGCGCACTCAAGGAAGCACTTTGATTCCGGCTGCGATCCAGGTCCCAGGACGCACCGGGAGATACAGGCAGGTGGGACTGGAAAGGGCCCTGAATGCCACTTTCAAAGAGTGAGCTTGGACTCCTGGATGATGGGAGGACGCAGGATGGGAGATGCACACTTAGTAGAGACTCCCCAGGCGGCGGGTGGTGTGACACAGGGACCACGAATCTCTCTGGGGAGCCGCGCCTGGTGGGACTGTGAGGCTGTTCCGGAACAGGGCCCTATTTCCCTGCCTGGGGCCAGCAGGGGAGCTCGGGCACCAGCAGGGGCAGGACGCTCAGGAGGGCTCGCATCTTCCATCACCTCCCAAGATCTACTTACGTCTCCCCTCGCCTGAAATCTTGAGCAACAGAGGCAGAGGGAAACCGAGGCTGCAGAGAGCAAGCCTGTGAGCAAAGGCAGGTGGACATGGTGTCTGAGGCAAGGAGGAGGGGAGAAGGGGGTGAACGGAGAAAAAGGCAGGACGGGAGCGGGCCAGGGAGGCTGGAAGGTGAGGCAGATCACAGAGCCCAGGGGTCACCAGGAGGAGAAACAGCTCCCTGCTTCTCAGAGGGCACACAAAGAAGCTGAGAAAAACCTCGCCTTACTGTAAAAGGGCACGAGGAACCTGTGGGGCAATGGGAACACCATGATTTGATCTGGGCGGCGGCCACACCCCTGTGCAGTTCTGATGATTCAGAGCTGTCATTCAGATTTGTGCATTTTGCAAATCAGAAACTGGCTGTGAGGTTGCAGGGCAGTGTGCGGCATGCCACGGCCCCTCTGGAAGAGGCAGTGTCCCCTGGCATGGCAGAGTTCACTTAAGCTCATTTAAGAGCCCATTTAAATCCAGAAAGAGATGGTCACTTCCTGCTGGGTGACTTCAGGCAACGTCCCCAACCTCATCTGTAAAATGGGAGCAATCACAGTGGCACGGACTGCTCGGACTGTGTTGAAGGGCACACGTAAAGGTTGCAGCCTGCCAGGGGAGACTGCCTCCAAGGGTGAGCCGTGCTTGCCAAAGCCCAAAGCGCTTGCCGGCCCCCGCACCTAATGCCCTGTGCACGCCCGGGCAGGCTGGACGTCCTACCCACTGGATGGTTATCCTCCAGCGCGGAGCTCCTGCGCCTCTTCGTTCCCCTCACCCCCTGGCACCTGCTTTCCCTTCTCTTTCCTCTATTTTACATCCCTTTGCCCACAGCCCAAAGTCTCTGCTCTGTGCAAACCCAGATCCTGCAAACCATATCCCTTGTTGCGGGAAGTCTGAGCAGTGTGTGGAAGTGGAGGAGAACCAGGGTGTGCATGCACGTGTGTGTGTGCACTGAGGAAGATCAGGAGCTGTAGGGTCACAGGTCTGGTCCTGGGGCAGAACCTCCCAGAGCCCTGAGTGGCCCCAACACAAGCACTCTCACCTTTAGCAGGGTCTGAGCAAACACCTTTAGCCTGTTACTGACTCCAGGCGCTGCTTAGGGGGGTTCCCTTGGGGACGCAAAGCCTTTCAGCCTAAGTACTGGGCTCGAGTCCTCTGCCCTTGAAAGATCCCTGGGCATCTCTGGGAAGTAGGGTTTACAGGACCCCACTTACAAAGTGTCTGGGTGATGCTGTGGTGGGGGCACCTGCACAGGGTCGGGCACCAGCACGGGAGCACAGGCTGTGAGTCCTCGGGGCCTGAAGCTGGCAGTGACCGTCTCCTCTCCCTGGTGACCTGGAGTTGGGCAGGAGGAAGCACTTCCGGAGAGACAGGGATCCTCCCACCCGGCCACGTAGAAGAGACCCGTGTGGGCATACCCCGCAGCTTGCCATGCAGCCTCCAGACAGACTTGGAGACACTGTGTGCTGGACAGGAAGGGGGATCGTCCTGGAGCTTCGTTAGGTGCCGTGATAGTATTGTATCATGCAGGCAAACATCTTTTGGTTTTAGATATGCATCTTGAATAACTCGGCATAAAAGGTCAGGATGTTTACAATCAACCTTAACATACTCTAGCCAAAAAAGCAAATGATGCAAACATTAACTGTCAAATGTTAATGTCTGTCCAACCTAGGAAGTGGGTATTTGCAAGTTCACAATACTATTCTATCTGTTTTATCTGTTTGAAAACTTTAAAAGCAAAGCAAAGCAAAACAATGTAAAACAAATCAAACCCCAAACACCTGTACATGTGGTGGAAAGATTAAAACTTTTTCCTCTTCCAAAGTAGAGTAAGGCGTGGGAATCAGAACATGCTGCAATTTCCCTGCGTACAGGGAAAGCCCATGTTTGTTGGGCAGTCAGGCGCGGTGGGGAGGACCCTTGGGGAGAAGGCCAGGCTCCCTTGGCCACCAGCCCGTCCTCATGTGGCCTGCAGTGGGTACCGCACTGGCAGGAGGTGTAGGCTCAGGCCGGTGATAGTGCCACAGCCCGGGCCACATCACCATGGGGCTGCCTGTGGTGAGAGGCCCACCATCTGTCACCTCCCTGGGCCTGGCCCCTCCTGGGAACCTCCCCTCCCCTGCTCCCAGACTGGGCACCAACGGGATGCACGACCTGTTGCACAGGTTGCCCTGGCACTTTGGCCACTTTCCTCCGTCCATGCTCTCAGAACCTGGTCAGGAGGAAGATAGTGCCCGGGTGTGGGGCACTGCTGTCCTCCCCAGCCTAGCCCCATCCCCCCCACTTCCCTTCTACCCTGGGACAAGCGTGTCAGCTTCCACTCAGGTGAGGAAACTGAGGACCCGGCCATGGAGTAGGATGGGGACCAGGTTTCCCGTCCCTGGCGGGCACTCCCCAGGGAAGGCGAGTCTCTTATGTTCCAGGAGAGAGGTGGAAACTTCCCTAAGAGCTCCCTCTTCTGGCATAGCCCAGGGCCCAGCAGCCCATGGGGGCCATGGCTTTGCTCCTGAACAGGTGACCTGACCCTGCTGCAGCCGTGTCTCTAAGGCCCACAGATAGCCTTTGGGGCCAGAGGCTCTGGAGAACTGGCAGTGGGGCAGGAGCAAGGCGCTTGTGGTCAAGCAGGGCCTTTGGGAGCAGGCGGCCAGTGCTCTGCTGCACCAGGGGCCACCTCTGCCCCAGCAGAACTGAAGGCTCCTCCTCTTCCCGGGCCCAGGCCCACAGAGGTGGTTTTATGGTCGGCACTATCGCACCTCCTCCAGGGAGCCCCCGACTGCCCCACTCAGCAGCCCCTACTGCAACTCTGCAGGGCTGCCCCGAGGCCCAGCTGGGCTCTGCCTGCTGCATCCCTGGCTCAGGACCCTTGAGGGGTGCTGGGGCTGCTTGTCCCTGGACCCCTCTGCAGCCCTGTGCTGTGCCTCAGTGGGTGAGGAGCCACCCGGCCCGCTGTCTTGGTCAGGGTGGAAGGCCTGGCCAGCGGCCCGGGCACACTTCCTCCTGAGAGACACTGGGTTTTCTTTCCTTTTTCGCTTCCCTGTTCAGAGATTTCCCCTTCCCAGGCTGAGGTCAGAGCCATAAACAGGAGCGATAAGGCTTTGGGCCTTCAACCTGAACTTTGCAGCCGTTTTATGACTCGATCACCCCGCACCCCAACTCCAGAGGCGGCGGGAGCAGGACTGCCTGGTGTCCACTCCAGGGCCAGGGAGCTAGGCTCCTTGCTTCAGCGTGGCCTCCCCTCATCCTGGCTGAGCCCCTTTTCACCCTGGGGGCTCAGCCCTGCACAGGGCTGTGAGAAATGAGGGAGATGAGAGCTCCCAGCCCTTGAGGGGGAGGGAAGAGGGCAAAGGGTGGGGTTGGCCCCGACGGTGGGGGGGCAGAATGGCCTGCTGTGCCAGGGGGGTGCTCTGGGCTCAAACCCTCCAGTAATGCAGGCAGGGGGTGCAATGCGGTGCCCAGATCCCTGCTGACCCAGAGTTTGAGGGGCTGGGACCCAGGACTGCAGGTGTGCTACAGAGGCTCAGAGACACTCAGGGTCAGAGCTGCGGACAGGGGGTCGTGGGCATCAGGAGGATGGGGATCCGGCCGATGGTCAGAGGTCTGCTCCTAGGCTAGGTAATGAGCGTCCTGTCCCCAGGGTGTGGAAGACAAAGATTTGTGCCGTGGTGGGGGTCATAAGGGGCGACCACAGGACAGAAAGGATCTGGTGTCAAGTTCCCTGCTCTCCCAGGCAGCCCAGAGCCACTTCCAGGAGTGGAGCCTGTGGGTGTTCATGCAGCAACTCAGGATGGCTCTGGGCTGGGAAGCGGGAAGATCAGCCTCTGCTGGGGTGGGGCAGGGGTCAGAGTGGACAGCGGGGCTCAGGAGTCCCCAGGCTTTCCCTGTTCTCTCAGGTGGCCCAGCGTCTGCCCTGGGCCCTGGTGAGCCATCTCAGACACCCACACGTGGGCACAGGGCCCCTGGTGCCAGGGGCACACACAGCCCTGGGAGAAGCAGAGGTGGGAAGAGAAGGCCAGAGAGGCTGGCCCCTGGCTTGGGCTCAGCTTTCCTGGGCACACCGGGCCCTCCCACTGGACCCCACAGGGGCCGCCCACTGTCACCTGCCTCGGGCACCAGGACTTCTCTGCTGTCCCCGGTTGGGAGGGCACAGAAGTGGGTCCTGATACACACAGAGCCATGCACACCGCAGAGCTGGGACAACCCCAGACCCGGGGACGTCTCCACCCGTGGACAGCCCAGACCCGGAGCACCGCAGACCGAGGCGCACTAGACGCTCGCAGCGACGCCCTCCTGTCCCCCTCCCGCCCGCGGCGGCTCCTCCTCACCCACGCAGCCGCCTGAGCACTCGGGTCGCCGCGCGGGGACAGCGGGCACGACCGCACCCCCACCTGTCGA